AATTCCAAAATTCTGGCATCTATGGCCAGGACGGGGGCAAATTCCTTAAAACTTTGGAATTTTTTGAGCATAGCAGTGTTTCGTGAGCTTTGAGGCAATGAAAAGTGATTTTTTTGAGCATTACAGTGCTTCGTGGTTTGAAACTCACAAAACACTGTAATGCTCAAAAAACATCAAGTTTTCACAGCCTCAAGGCTCACTTTTTTTGAGCATAGCAGTGTTTCGTGGTTTAAAACTCACAAAACACTGTAATGCTCAAAAAAATCCACTTTTCATTGCCTCAAAGCTCACGAAACACTGCTATGCTCAAAAAATTCCAAAGTTTTAAGGAATTTGCCCCCGTCCTGGCCATAGATGCCAGAATTTTGGAATTTTTGGAATTTTTTGAGCATTACAGTGTTTCGTGAGTTTCAGGGTTGGAAATTTTGGAATTTTTTGAGCATAGCAGTGTTTCGTGGTTTGAAACTCACAAAACACTGTAATGCTCAAAAAAAAATCCACTTTTTACAGCCTCCAAGCTCACGAAACACTGCTATGCTCAAAAAATTCCAAACTTTTAAGGAATTTGCCCCCGTCCTGGCCATAGATGCCAGAATTTTGGAATTTTTGGAATTTTTTGAGCATTGCAGTGTTTCGTGAGTTCTGGGGTTGGAAAGTTTGGAATTTTTTGAGCATAGCAGTGTTTCGTGCGCCCCATGCCCTAAGAACCACGATGGCGTGGATCTTGGGGGGGGGGGGGGGGCGAGCATCTATATATATATATATATATATACATGTATGTATATATGTATATATATATATATATATATACATGCAGACAAGCTGCTCAAGCCGAAACCCCATCTATGACCCTTCTTACTGAGTCACCCGACCCTCCAAGTACTAACTGGGCCCAGAAACCCACATGAAGATGACATTTCCGCGGTAGTGAGCTTTGGAATTCAGAGGTTAGGGCCTACCCATAGGCCCCGAAGTAGTTTCTTTTGGGATTACATTATAGGATTCTGAATCTGAACCCCAAGAAGGAACTACCCTGGGGCCTTAGGGTAGGGTCTATAGCTTTCTCCCTGATGTAGGACCCTTAGGCTTCCGTGCTTTCCCGGGCCCCTAGTACTGACTGCACTTCAGCTGCGGCGCTTGCCGCGCACAGCACAAAACTCCTCAAGAGAAGTGGCTCTTGTAGTTTTTGGGTTTGGGGATTTGATTTGGTCAAGAACTTTACAGGTAACGGTGCAAGGCTACTGAACGGCTTCCGGTTGGGGCTTTGGATTTCGGCTTGCGGGGCTTGCCGGTTGAGACCCACGCAGGAACAGGGTGGGCTTCTGGGTATGATACGCACTATCATGGACATTGCACTCAAGAAACAGTCAGTTCAGGGCGCTACACCCCAGAGGCCATGAATACGAAACGCCAGAGACCTGCAATGACAGCAGGAACTGCTTCCCCTTGCAAAGCTCTTCTTGAGGCACACGCTTATGGTATGCATACATATACCTAAACACTAAACCCTAAACCTTTCAGGGTGCTGCACTTACTTTTGATGTTCCCCATCTGAGAGACGAATGGACAGGGCCCTTCGAACCGAACCCTTAAACCCAGATTCCTCAACACCACGCCCAAGCCCACGGCCCGAGAACTAAAGACCTAGAGCACAAATTCTGCAACCCAAAGCAGCAGCCGCAAACTTTAAACCTCAAACATTGGGTCCTCATAGCTTCGCACTTGCGAGCCGTCCACGGTACGGACGTCCGCGAAGCGATGTCCTGTCGGCAAAAACGTCGGATTTGCTCGTACCCTGTGGGGCATCGAGAAAATGCCAAGCTGCAGCCCAAACGCCAAAGATTTGTGAGGTTCGGGCAACGAGGGATCGGAGCAGAGACACTAGCGTCGTTGATGTCAGGACGCCTGACAGTTATGGCATCCCTACTTTTAGTCGAACCTGCATCTTCCGGTTTCATGATGACACCCGAGAAAGCTCCCAGCTGTAGACGAAAACTGGAAGCTCCGAGCTCAACACCCTAAACTCCTAAACGGCCCTAAACCCAAACCTAAAGTCCAAACCCAAACCCCAGAATGAACCCCCCAAGCCCTGAAATATAGAAGCCTTGCAGTCACCCTTGAAGGAACCCGACACCCAGAACTATGGCCTAGGCTCTGGATCAGACTTGATGGTTTCAGGCTCCTGAAAGCATCTAGAACCCTGGTCTCGCGCCCCACCCCAAGCCCGGACCCGAACCCCGGTTAAGAAATCCAGATCAGGGTCCCATAGTGAAGTTCCATAACTAGACCCAAGAGTAGCCTAGGAATAAAAAGGATGCCCTTTTTGGTTTAAAGGGGCTTATAAGGGAACCTGAACCCCAAAAAAGGGAATAAGGGCCTACTCTAGGTCCTAGATAAGTGAGAGTTCTGTGAAGGGTTCTCTAGTAGGGTGCTACAGTGTAGTAGTGTAGAGCAGGGCGCGATAAGAGTAATAAGGGCTGCTGTAAAAAGGTTACTATCAGGGTTTCTGCAAGGGGTCCTGCGAAAGGGCTCCTCTTAGGGTTTTGGCATTGCCGTTTCTAGAGGCCTCAATCGACAAGCACCATGGGTTTTGGGGATGCATGTTTCTATCGGTATCTTGGGGAACTTTCAGGAATTCGTGTCATTCCTATGTTTCAGACCCTGGGGGCGTGGATTCAGCTACTTTTGAGGAATTCGGATGTTAAAAGATCAGCTTGTACTCGCAGTCCCGACTGAAGATCCGTCAATGCTGAAATCCCCCAACCATCAAGTTCGAGAGAGCCGCATTAACCAACAGTTATTCTGGAAAGTACGACCTCAACACCCCATGCAGCCACGAGGACCCTTTTTCGGTGGAAAAAAATGGCCTACAGAAAAACCCTAATCCCTAAACCCTAAACCCCTAAACCCGAAACCCCTAAACCCCTAAACCCTAAAGCCCTAAAACTCTCCACGCTGACGCCGGTTGATGCAAGTCCTCGCCTGCATGGCCTCGCACTGAGGACTGGAGCCACCGCAGCACTTCCATGGCGACAGGCAGCAGATTGATATGTGAATAGGGGTAAGGTTGTGCCGTATCTTATGCTACAGCTATAGTGGGGACGATAAGGGAGCTTAGTTCAAAATATTCAGATCCCTGTATTACAGGCTTTGGAAGTCTCCTAAAAAGGGCTCTGTCTTGGGTTTGTTGTAAAAGGCCTAAAGGCCCGGTATGACTTGGAGGGCTTGAAGTTTTTGAAAAAGAGTTCGAACGAGTTGTTTGCGGCATTTTGGCAAGATAAGGTTTTAAAGTGGTCTCAGTTTGTGCAGCGAGGTGTTCTGAAGGGCGCTTATTGGTCTTTTTGAAGAGTTTTGGAAGGGTTTCAACACAAATCCGATGTCAAAGCTGGCTGTTCCGCAGAGGCGGCGAGTCGTAGCCTAAACTTCACGAAGCCTGTATTTTTAGGGCTCCTTATTGTGGGGGTTTCCCCTTATTCAGGTCATTGAAAAGGTTAGGTTATTTGGGAGTTTCCGAAAATAGAGGGCCCTAATACAGTACCCTAGATCGTAGGATCCTGATTTTCAGGACCCCCAAAAAGTACCCCGAAAAGCAGCCCTCACACCTGATTGGCGACCGCATTGAGTTGCGCTTTAGGGTTTAGGGTTTAGGATTAAACCCCACAAAGGTTTAGGGTTTATAGGGTTTATAGGGTTTAGGATTAAACCCACAAAGATTTAGGGTTTAGGGTTTAGGATTAAACCCTACATCCTGAACCCCATACCCAGCAATGCCCCATAAAACCCTGCGAAACCCCCTTGCAAATCCCTCAGCTCTTCGCCGAAAACCGTAAGCCCCCTTAGCTCACCGAGCTGATGCACTGAACGCTCGAAGCCCTGAAGAACGCGCTCGAACCGCTACCCATCGAAGGCATGTATGTGTGTATGCAGAATGCCCTATGTAAGGTGTACATATGTACACATATAGCACACAGAATATCTCTGGTTTTTGCTTAGAGCTCCTTTCCCAAACCTCCACGAATCAACTCCCTGATCTCCAAACTCCGCACAGAACAAAACTACATTATTGAGCTCGTACTCTCATGAAAACAAGGCATATCGAACATTGTCCGTGCAATGCGTTTGACATGCATACCGCATGCAACATTGCTTCTGAATGGCTGTTACGGTAGCATAAGCAAGAGCACCAGCAATGGCTTTCGTGATGATCAACACTATAATACAGATACCTGACACCTGTTTGTGATACTAGTATATATGTAATCCCAGTCAACTAGTTGTATTCATAATGGTAAGGCGGCTGCGCTCAGGAGCCCTCAAGACCAACAAAAAAGGACTCTGCAATCTGCCTTCCTTTCTACAAGCACGTACCGGGGGAACCCTGGAATCTCATAATATCGGGACCTTAATTAGGGTTTTGGGACCCACTACACCATAAAGGTCATAAGGAACCCCCAAAATAGTATAGGTAGTTATTTGGGCCTCTATATCAAATCCTTATCATAGACCTTAGAGTAGCCTTTATAGACCCCTTTTAAAGGAACCCTTCCCTGCTCTAGGTAATTATTTCGGCCTCTATAGGGGAACCTTGGAATCACATGGACTGAAGCAGCGCTGGAATGTGGCAATACCGTCAGGCACTTCGTAGGGAATGGGGGATCGGGGTCATGGGGACCACTATAAGGGACCCTTAGGGTTTAGGGTTTAGGGTTTAGGAACTATAATACTGTCAGAGGGATCCATTCCCCCATTCCTTACTAAGAACCAGACAGAACATTCCTTCTCCTCATAATGCGAAGGAATTAATCAAAATTGGATAAAGGAATTTTGGAGTGTCCGAGGTCCTCAACCCCAAACCCTAAACTTCCCGAAACCCCCTGAGCCCTAAATTTCCCAAAACTCCCTAAACCTAAACCCTAAAACCCTAAAACCTAAACCCTAAAACCCAAAAACCAACTTAACTCAAACAACAGGGATGCAAGTGATGCAAGCCACGAGGGCTCCTCGCGCAGCAGACCCCTTCGGCTGCAGGACACCGCGCCTCTTCTAGGGATTCTAGGGCATCTCGAAGCGGCACACTCTAGTAGGGTTCCATTCAGGTAGTAGCAATCACAACATAATCATAGAGGAGAAATTCAGGGTTTCTTGGGGCTTTGGGGTTTTGGGGCAGGTTCTCAATGTTATCTAATCTAGTAGGGTTCTATTCAATTGGTTCCATGTGTATGTATGGTCCTTGCTAGATAGACGATTTCGGTGGATTCTATGCCATGACTGGATGAGGATACATGTGGGAGCCCTCAAGATTTCTACATTCATGATTCAAGCCTCCTACAGTCAACTCCAGGAACCAATACCTTTCTGATCACTACCGGGGTTTATCAGGATAGGGCTTGCGCAAAGGTTTTTGAAGGTTGCTTTGCGCAAGGTATACACTGGAAGGAGAAGGGGTTTCAGTGCTCGGATTACAACCAAGGCAAAATACAAAAAGGTTTAGGGCTTGTTGAGCTTTTCTGTAGGCCGCACCCAAAGCCCGTAAACGAAAGGCTGCCGGCGGCAATCCCCAACGCCATGAAGCATCTCGGATGTCTGTAGGCCCCCGAAGCCGAAACTCCAAGACACCTGAACTGATGCAACACATTCCGAAACCCAAAACCTCAACCAGAAACCAAAAAAGCCCAAAGCCATAAACTTAACCCCCCTAAACCTTAAACCTTAAACCGACCCCCCAAAAAAAACAAAAATCGAAGGCTGCATCTCCAGCCCCGAAGCCTCAACTCGAAACCCTGAACCCTGGAACCTTAGAATCCTAATCCCTGACCTAATTTCAGAGTCAAATCCCTAAACCCTGAATCCTAAACCCTAAACTCTAAGAAGCCCTGACGAAATTTCAGATTCAAATCCCTAACCCTAAACTCTAGATCCTAAACTCTAAACCCCTTTTACAGCTAGAAGCAAAAGCTCAGGACGGGCGGCTGAGGGCTTCGAGAACCTGGCTCGATCCAAGCTCCTCCTCCACCACCGAGACCCTGGGAGACGGGAGTGGGTTTGAGGGGGTGGTTTTAGCTAGGATACCCAGTAACCTAAGAATAAAAAGGCCTCTCTTTTTGGTATTGGGTAACTTTATAAGGAACCTAGGACTACAAAAAGGGAATAAGGGTACTACTGGGCATCCTAGGTTTAGTGTTCAGGCTTCAGGGTTTAGGGTTTAGGGTTTTGGGTTGAGGGGGATTCAGGGAGTGGTTCAGGGTTTAGGATTTAAGGTGTGGGGTTGCGGCTAAAAGCTGTGAGAGGGGTTTAGTAAACAACGGGTCTTGGGGTTTTGTGTTCAGAGCTTGGAGTCTAAGAGGAAGAGGATAGAGCACATCGATTTTGCTGGTCCGGGTCCTCGTGTGCATATTCTTGTGCCACTTAACCCGGCGTGCTTGTCATGCGGATTGTGGCTGCGTGCCTCGATCATGGTACTGCTCGGCTGCGTGGCTCCACCTTCGTTTGCTCATTATTGTTGTCTGCACGGCTGTTGAAGCCTACTTTGTCGGTTTACTTGTTTGCATCTGCATCACTTCATCGTCTGGTTTCAGCCTCGTCTGACGACTTGCTTGCGGCTTTTTGTGTGCCACTTCTGTTTGGCCCGCGTTGCTGGTTTTCAAGGTCTCAGATGTAGGCAATTGCATCTCTGTCTCATGGTGAAGATGCAGCTTATGAGAACTTGTGACAACCCGTCAAGATCCGCTAGGCATCCGAATTCACGAATTTGCAACATGCCTCCCTGCAAGGGAAAGTTTAACAGCCATAGTATGTGTGTGTGTGTGTATGTGTATATATATATATGTGTGTGTTATCAGTATTTACAAATTTTCATACATACATACTTACTTTTATGCATGCTTACATTATATGACATTACATTGCATTGCATCGCAGTACATTGCACTACAGACAGACAGACAGACAGCCGGGCGGGCGGGCGGGCGGGCGGACGGACGGACGGACAGTCGGACGGACACAAACACACGAATGCATTTACATATTTACGAATTAGTACATGTATATGTTTATGCATTGTTTATTGAGTGAGTAGCCCCGCTTGTCCCTCGACCTGTTTCAATACTGGAGTCTGGGTCTAGGGTTTCGTAGGTTCTGGATTCGAAAGCTCGTTGGTCCCTTACCTCCAACCCAGAACCCTCGGAACACCCTAAACCCTGAACCCTGGATGTTTTTCTCCCTGAACCTGTGAGCAGGCCGTAGAATTAGACTTCTTTTTTATATAGATCCCCAAGATAGTACGACACACTTCTTATAATAGAATGAAAGAGAACTACCCCACTGCGCTCCAAGGTGCATTTTGTCTACGAGGGCGGTGAGGTCGGCAGGAAGCTGCCTGCAAAGGGTCGTCGGGTGTAGGCTGGCAAGGTTTACCTGGACCCCAAATAACCTACCTTTTTGTGGTTCCGTCATATGATTTCTTTGTATATGTCCTTAAACGGTAGGTTATTTGGGGTTAAGGTAAGGTCTGCAACTTTAGGAACTGTCGGGTTTAGGGTAGGGTCTCGGGATTTGGGTTTTAAGTTTCAGAGTTTAAGGCTTGAGGCTTGGACTTCTGGGCGTTTGATTTGGCCTTGGGGCTCCGTCGCAAGCCTGAAACCCTCAACCCTACTTGGGGGGTCGGGGGACTTAGTAAGTAGTTAGTAAGTAGACGTATAAGTACCCCAAAAGGAACCCTAATTGGGGCTACGGTACTTATAAGTCCCTAAAATAACCAGTTACTAAGTCCCCCGACCCTCCAAGTAGAACCCATCAAGGCTCAGTTTGAAGTGGGGGACCTGATTGATAGGGTTTAGGGTTTAGGGTTTAGGGTTTAGGTTTAGGGTTTAGGGTTTAGGGTTTTTCGGTCCAGGATGTGAAGAATCTCGGGTTCATAGTACTGAGAAGCCGCGTTTCTTTAAGCGGCACCGCAAGGGTTCCTACCACGGTAAACAGCAATAGGGGTTTTGCTGTTTAGAAAAACCACCTGAATACCATTCATGAGGAAAGCAACGTTTTGGGGTTCTCTTATTTTTCATATAAACACGTGGTGACAATATTTGGAGAAAAATATGTACACGTTTAGTCCGTAACAGTTCCTCTTAGGGCCAGTGCCAAACCAGTATAAAGAGCACGGTACTCCAGGATAATGCAACACATAATCGCCAACCTTAAACCTTAAACCTCCGCTCCCTTGCGATGGGGGTCCCTTGGGCTGTTGTCTACTATAGGAAACGCATTCTAGCTGCTAAGAGCCCCGATATTAAACCCAAACCCTTGACCGGAGTTAAGGTTCAAAGTTCCCTAAACCCTAAAACCAAAACCAAAAAACAAAAACCTATACATAAACACCCCAGGCCCTAAGCGTTCCCCCTCAACCCTTATAACCCTAAAGCCTCAACCGGAATTAAGGTTTAGGGTTCCCTAAGCCCTTGATGCCTGCTTGGTAGTTCTGCGGCCAAACGCAGCCAGAGCCTGGGTGCCAGCAGGGGTTTAGGGGTTTAGGGTTTCGGGGTGTTTACCCATAGGCTCCGGAGTAGTTCCTTTCTTGGGGTACATATTGAAAATTGTATAAGGTAATCCCAAAAAGTAACTACTATGGAGCCTACCTGTACGAGGCAAGCTTGGTAGTTCATACCTTCCATGTATTGAGCCCCCTATGGTAGAGTGGTTTAGGCTGTTACGATGAAGGGTTGGGATCTCGGCAGTAGCTTCTTCTGGATGGGCTTAAGCAGGTCTATACTCGAGTCCCGTCGAGACTGAACAGGCCTCATGAAACCCTAAACCCTAAACCCTGGCCCATGCCTACACGATCATGTACGATCAGAAGGAGAGTGGAAGGAACTTCTGTAACGCATTAACTTAAGAAATTGTCCGTAAACCTGGCAAGAACCCTGTACATAATTTCTACCTTAAGCCATATTTGCAAACCCTAATTTCTTCCTTCAACCCTGTTTGTAAACCCTGATTTCAGGGATAACCCCACATGACCATAGGGACCCTTGCCAAGGAGTAGCGGGAAGGGGGTAGGGGGCCTTAATGCCCATAATCAGGACCTTATAAGGCCTCTTTAAGGAACTGTAGTCCCCTACCCCCCTCCCCATCTACCCTAAACCCTAGACCCCGAAAGCCCCTAAGCCCTAAACCCCTTACCCCCCCTTTAAGGGTCCCTGTTACATGACCTTGCTGCTCAGGAGGCGGAATTGCAGGCCCCGGCGCTGTGCAGTGCCAGCGCTGTCGAAGGGCCTGTTGGGCAGAGGGGGCTTAGAGTTAAGGGTTTGGGGTTTAGGGTTTAGGGTTTAGGGGGCTTAGGGTGTGATGTAGGGCTTTGGGGATGTCGGGTGTCGGGTTTAGGGTTCGGGGTTTAGGGCTTTTGGGGTTTGGGGGTTTAGGGTCTGTAGGGCTTTGGGGGTTTAGGGTGTAGATGGGTTTAGGGTTTTGGGTTTAGGGGTTTAGGATGGTTTAGGGTGTAGATGGGTTTAGGGCTTTGGGTTGAGGGGTTTAGGGGTTTAGGGCTCCGGGGTTCGGGGTTTAGGGTTTTGGGGCTTAGGGGGCCTTAGAGTGCCATCCGAAGCGTTATGTAGTGGTCAAAAGGTTTGCAGTCTATACGAGTCGAACTTAAGGATTAGGGCTTAAGGCTTAGGGTTTGGAGTTAAGGCCTAGGGCTTTGGGGGTTTAGGGTGTAAAGTAAGGGTCGGAAGAAGTACCGATACTGTTCCTCAAGTTTCCCGAAGAGCAAGCGGAACCCGCGAGACCCTGAACCGTAACACCCTTAATATAGGGGCCTTAATAATTAGAACAGGGTTTTGGGGTATATTATACTTTGACCATAATAAGGAACCCGCAAAACATAAGCCCCTGTTCTCCCCTGTATGCAAATCTGGATCGTAGCCTTGCAAGAACCCTGCTAGGGATGCCTCTAAAGGCTCTATATGGGTTCAAAGATGAGGTTTGGGCTGGGATTCGGGCACCAGGGCTTTGTGGCGTGGGGCTTGCGAGTTTGGTGTATGGGCTCTGTCCCGAACCTGCGACCCGCCAGTGCATGAAAGACAAGCCAAGCCGTAAAACGTTCACCCCCCGTAGAACCAGAATAAACATAAGATATGCAAATTCTCTTGGGCTCTTGGGCTTTATATGAACAACAATAATTCTGAAGGAGACTACAGGAATGACTTCAAAGATTTGTCGCCGCTCCGTTCATCCCCGCCCACCTCCGCGGCGCGTGCTCCTAGTGGTTCCAGGCATAATGTGGCTTTGGCAGGTAGCATCGGCCTGCACGCGAAGCATCATGCTTGTGATGGTGGTAGCGGTGAATGGGGATGATGAACATTGACAGTGCTCGTGCTGATGTGATGACGATGACGATGATGGTGACCATGGCGGTGGTGGCGGTGGTGGCGATGCTGACAACTACGATGGTGTTGAAGGCGGTGACGGCCAACCAAGCTGATACGTATGGCTGGCATCTTCGTGGCTTTTACAGACGATGCTAGACATTACGGCTCGAACTCGTATGGCACAACTCAACTTCTCCCAAATTGCTGCAAACGACAGTAACAAAGACCATCACGGTAAGGTCTAGTATTTGGGTTAAGAACTCGAACTCTACGATGAATGCCACGATCATCGCCGTGAAGTGACTTCTTGCTAAACGTAATCAACGAGCCGTCATAAACCTTAACACTGCCAACACGATCTCAGTGTTCATCCTGTGCATAGTGCTAGTACTAGTAGCATAGTAGTAGTAGTAGTAGTAGTAGTAGTAGTAGTAGTAGTAGTAGTAGTAGTAGTAGTAGTAGTAGTAGTAGTAGTAGTAGTAGTAGTAGTAGTAGTAGTAGTAGTAGTAGTAGTAGGTAGTAGTAGTAGTAGTAGTAGTAGTAGTAGTAGTAGTAGTAGTAGTAGTAGTAGTAGTAGTAGTAGTAGTAGTAGTAGTAGTAGTAGTAGTAGTAGTAGTAGTAGTAGTAGTAGTAGTAGTAGTAGTAGTAGTAGTAGTAGTAGTAGTAGTAGTAGTAGTAGTAGTAGTAGTAGTAGTAGTAGTAGTAGTAGTAGTAGTATAGTAGTAGTAGTAGTAGTAGTAGTAGTAGTAGTAGTAGTAGTAGTAGTAGTAGTAGTAGTAGTAGTAGTAGTAGTACGGTAGTAGTCAGTCGTGTCTTGGTCGAAGTCGTAGTAGTAGTTCTGAGTTTCGGGACAGGAAGTTCATCAGAACTAAGAGTGGTCAAGCACGACACAGGTCGCCCGAGGATTGTGCGACATCCTGTCGCAGACTTTGCACAGCTGCTACTGTTGACCCGGCCCGGTGCGAGCTGAGGGCTGCGCGAAGAGCCGCATGGCGGAGCGATGATGCATCCTCGTGCACGGAGACTGTGTGAATCAACGACCTACATGGTGAAGATGTGTACCGGGCAGTGACACCAGTCTTTACCTGCATGCCACCCTAGCAGACGCATTCAACACCAGCACAAAAAGCAAGATAGGCGGCTGTAATGTCCGTTTCGGCATTCTGCTACAAGGATGCCCCTTGTAGTCTGCATTTAAAGGGGATCCTTCTGCAGTGTCCCACTCCCACATGTTGCTGTTGTGCTTCTGGGGCCGTACGCAGAGAGCTCGATGCACCTCACTTGCGGGACCTTCCTTCAATCATAAACGAAGAAGCTTTTTGACAGGCTATGATTGCACCATCAAAGCCTTGCCCTAGAGCCTAAATCCATGTATATATCATAACCCTAAAGCCATAACTCCAAAAAAACCTGCACCCTCTCAAGCCCGCCCAGGGTTGCCCCAACAGCTTAGAGCGTGGCTAACGCCCGGCGGAAGCGGGGAGGGCAGCCACGGGCCCACCTTCAGGGTAATCTAGCTAAGCAACTGGAATAGCGTATTTCAAGGGTGCTGTAGAAGCGGTTCTCTTTAAGTCTATGATTTCGGGGCCTTGGTCGGTTGGGTTGGAACAAAGTGTTGGGTTACATTGTGGTTGCTGTAGGGGTCTTCGGGTCATTTTGGCAGCTGTGGAAACTCCTAAAAAACTTACTTCAGGTAAACTCCTTGACGACTTCAAGACTATTCGTTGAATAATCGGTATGGGACTCTCTGCGGGGGTCGACCGCAAGGTTCCGGGTTTAGGATTTAGGGTCGGTCACTGGATGTCTCAGCTGTGGCCGCTCCATCTTGCTCTCTAAACCCTAAACCTCAAACCCTACACCGCCTCCATATCATCCAGGAGCAACACGATGCCGGCCTGCCTGAGACCGGGAGACTGTGGAGTTTCCGAAAATAGGGGACCCTAATATAATACCCTAGATAGCAGGATCCTTGTTATCAGGACCCACAAAATCCGGTAGCTTTCGGAAACTCGCATGTGTTCAGGCCGCGTTCCATCTCTGTAAGCTTATGGAACCTTGTGGAATCCGAAAGCACCCGGCCGGACTCCTTGCAGCACCCTCCCAGAACCATAAACCCTAAACCCTCCCGGAACCCTACAAAACCCGTGGACAAGAAACAGACCTTGTTTTGGGTAATAGGATGTGGGGGAATACCACACTATTATACAGTTATACAATGACTATGAGAGTACGTTCCTGCTGAATTAATTGCTCTGACCCATACATTGGTCGTGTTCGTTGTCGTTGCAGCGTTCTTCGACGTCTCTACCGGCATCCATATGTCGAGAAACCTCAAACGTTGTCCGTTGTATTGCACTTGCAATGCACAATATAGTCGCCTAGAACCACGCGTGAAGTGTAAAGCACTGCAGGACCCTAAGTCGTGACTCTAACTAACTGCACCCTCCACATCCCCTGCCGCTGTTTCGCTTTCCGGGAAGCTGTTTTTGCCACAGGTGTCCATATCAGGCAACATCATCACCACCAGCATCATCAACTTCATCATCATCATCATTATCAGCATTATCCCATGCCTCTGGCCACGCAAAGCCCAAACCCGTAGGTACTTGAGTAACCGGTAGGATCCTTAGTACGGGGCGTCTAAAAATGGAGTCGCTGTTGAGAAACCCTGACAAAGCAAAATGAGAACCTGATTCTAACACCCGACAATTACCCAGGGGCCCCAAAGTAGTTCCTGTTTGGGTAGTATATTAGAGTTGCAATCCAAAAAGAGGACACACCCAAAAAGGAACTACTAACCCTAAACCCTAAACCCTAAACCGTTACTGCCCACCTTCCCGCATTGTGGATCACAGGCATCAACAGGAGCTCTTCATCCGTCGCCTGCGTCACTGCCGTCTGAGCACTTGGGGGGTCGGGGGACTTAGTAAGTAGTTAGTAAGTAGACTTATAAGTACCCTAAAAGGGTCCCTAATTGGGGTTATGGTACTTATAAGTCCCTAAAATAACCAGTTACTAAGTCCCCCGACCCTCCAAGTAATATAGGGGCCTTGTGATTAGAATAAAGATTTGCGGCCCACTATACTATAATTCGCATAATGAGGAACCCCCAAAAACCTATTCTAGTTATTAAGGCCTCTATATTTCCAAAGAACACTAAACCCAGTCCCTTTGTAGTGCCTATTTCTGCAAAGACTTGCAGGCTTTTAGCCTCTAAGCTTTCGGTTGCTCAGACCCCCATCCCAGGTTCCCCTCAGCGCACCTCATCTATTCCATCCTGAGCTGCAAGACGACTCAAGAGCACCACAAAGCACAACCAAACCACGAAGGCTTAGGGTATAGGGTCGAAGTTTCGGGTCACGAAGCTCTAAGCAACAACGACCGTGTGACTGGGTAGAGAGATCATGGGGCGTAGCATTGATAAACCTGCAAGGAGAACATTTTTATGTCAGTTGTAAGCATTGTCACGCAGTTTCTCGTGTATTCAGCACTACTGTCCTTGTTGCTGTAGTGCTATTGTCATGGCTAGGCCATACTACCAGCACTACCACTTCCACTACCAGCACCACTCCTACTCGTACTCGTAATCCTACTCCTACTCCTACTGCTACTCCACACTACTACTACCACTACTACACCTACTACTACTACTACTACGACGACGACTACTACTACGACTACTACGACTACTACTACTACTACTACTACTACTACTACTACTACTGCTACTGCTACTACTACTGCTGCTACTACTACTGCTGCTACAGCAATTACAGCTACTACTGCTGCTACCGCTACTACTGCTACGGCTGCTACGACTGCTGCTACTGCTACTACTGCTACTACCACTGCTACTACTACTGCTTCTGCTGCTGCTGCTTCCACGACGACTACTACTACTACTACTACTGCTACTACTACGACGACTACTACTACTACTACTACAACTACTACTACAACTACTACTACTATTACTACTACTACTACTACTACTACTACTACTACTACTACTACTACTGCTGCTACTACTTCTACTACTACTACTACTGCTACTACTACTGCTACTACTACTGCTACTACTACTACCACTGAACGAATAATAACTACTGCTGTTGCTGCTGACAATACTCGTGCTACTGCCATGTTTGTTGTTGCGATCCCCCCATGGGTCGCTTGCGTCTTCTGCGCACTCTCGTCAGTAGTATATTACACGCGCTGTTAGGGCTTGCGCTGTTGCCTATTTCAGTGTCTTAAAGCATCTGAGTAATGTTTAATGCGACAACCAGTACTGTCACTTAGAAGTGAAAAGCTGATGCAGCAGCGTCGCCGCGTTCTGCTGACTACGGAAAGTACACTGAAGACCAGATCTAAGTTTTCCTACCGTATTCCGGCTTCCCATGTAGGCCAAGCCGCGTAGATTCGTCGCAGCCTCGGCTGCCGACGTGCTGCACGGGTGGTGAGTCTCCGTGCATTCGGACCATGACCACGACGACGCAAACGACATTACCATCATCATCATCACAACCTGCATCCTCGTCAACCTCACACATCGAAAGATTTCAAGGGATTGAGACTGAAGGTAAGGTATGGTTGATCACGGTGATGATGATCATTACGATGCAGTGATGTTTCTCCTAAAACTGCTACGTACCACTACAACTCCGACTACCACCACCACCGCCACCATCACCACCACCATCATCACCACGACGACTACTGCTATTCATAAAAGCAACAGAAATACAAGTCGCAATAGTTCTTGTAACAAGATGCAAGAAGAATCGCTGCTACTACTACTACTGCCACTGCCACTGCTATACTTCGCCAGCGACGACTGCGGCTGTGACTCTACTGCGACGACGACTGCGACCACGACTACTACCACTACTACGACGACGGCGACTACTGCTACTTTCTCCTGCTACTGCTACCGCTTCGACTCCTGCTTCCTCTACTACTACGTTTGCGGATCCTACCACAGTGAATCAAGGCCTAGATGAACTTGAAAAATCAACGCTAGACCTCGCTCCCCCCAGGCCAAGGCACAGCGCAGATACATTATGCCTACCGCGCACGGGACAGATCCCCGGAAGAGCGGCGCAACGCCGGAAGGTCTCCTGGTTGGGGATTCTGAGCTCGGTGTGTTAGTACCAAGAGATCCCAATACCCCTTAATTAAGGAATATACCATAGATCATAATATGAAGGCCCCTACAACTTTAGGTATACTCCTTATCAAGGTTTATTGGGTTCGCTGGGTAGTAGCAGTAGCTCGGTGTCTTGGTTGTAGCAGTTGCAGCAGCGGCAGCCGCAGCAGTAGCAGTCGCAGAGGCAGTGGCAATGGCAGGAAAAGGAGTGGGAGCAGGAGAAGGGGCAGTAGCAGAAGCGTGGCAGCAAACGGCGGATCTTGCTTGTGGCGAAGTCTCAAAAAAACCTGAAACCCTAAGCTCCAAACCCTGAACCCTAAACACTGTAACAGAGCCCCTGGCCTCCAGCAATGCGGTTCGACCAATGCCCGGGGAACCTCCACAAGTTTGCGGTTTCTTGTAGGGTGTAGGGTTTATAGGGTTCTTTTGTACACTGTTTTTACAGGAGGGTTCTATAGGCTTAGGGTTTGGGTTAAGGGCCTAGTGTGTAAAGATGATGAGACCCCGAACCCTGAACTGTAGATATGGCCACCAATCGTAATAGCATCAATGTTGTAACAAAATTAATTTAATACTAAGCCTAGTACGATTAAGAGGAATAACTGCAATCATATCTGCTCCAAATGCAGAACCAAAGACTCGCTTGACTGAATCGCGGAGACCCAAGTCCTTCACCCTTACGCGACAAACCTGACGTGATACGGTAGACGTGAATAGTGGTCCTTAAAGCAGGGGAACAGTCATCAGGGATCAAGATTAGGGCCCCCATTAAAAGCACATAAGCAAAATTGACATGGAAATCCCTTACAGTGAAGCAGAGTAAGGGAGGGATAGATATCTTTGTAAAAAGATGATGCACATGTCTACCTTCGGGACCCTATACCCTCCCAAACCCCTTGCTGACTGGTGCTTCAAAGGAATTGCTAGAGCGGAACCCTGTAATGGTCCCTATAAAGTAGTCCCTATATTCCCTCCCCGCCCTTTCCGTAAGCACTAAAGCCCAGAACCCTAAAGTCCACAACCCTAAGCCCCAGACTTACTTCCTACCCGCAGGCGTCCTTCGACGACCATCACTGGCAGCTGCTCCACTGCAAGGCACGACTGGACACTCCTGCACTGGGGTACTATAAGAGCATATGTATATATATATATATATATATATATACCGCTACTTGACAGGTTGCTATGAGGCCACTGTGGGGGCTACTAAAGGTTGCTATAAGAATACCATAATGGTGTCAATATAAGGGCTCTTTAAAGGTTACTATGAGAGTACGGGAGAGAAGGCCTGCTTTCAACAGATGCGGCGGTCTACGTGCTGATGTGGAAGCCTGAGTGATCAGTCTATCCGGTTTTAGGGTCGGGTCAAGGGTTTAGGGTCTTTGCCCGACCAAAGGGTGTGTTTTGTCTTTTGGTTCAATGGAGGTAAGTACATTAGGTACCAATGCAACTATTTATTCACCCCAAGGATTTCGAGTGTGGGGTTCAGGGTTCACGGCTTGGGGTTTTGGAGCTTTGGGATTCTAGCTTGAGGTCTACTTGTGCGACCCTTCTCATTCTCGATTTGAGGCTTAGATTTTGGGACATGCAGCTTCTATACCCTAAACCCTACATCCCTAACCCCTAAACCCGGAAACCACAAACCCTGAAACCCAAAACTCTGAACCCCTTGGGGTATTCTGGGGATGATAGGGTTCCCTTTAAAGGAACGCTGAACCCAAAGCTCGGCCTGAGAAAGGCAGGCTGGCTGAAGATAAAGCTGGCCAGGCTGCCATCACGGCCACGGGTAATGTGGTTCACCTGCAACGTTTAGGGGTTTAGGGCTTAGGGCTTTCGGGTTTAGGGTTTATAGGGGTTTAGGGTTTAGGCTTTAACCCCCTTACAAAACCCGCTTGAAAGCCTATTACAACCCCTGGGAATCAGGACGTAGAAATCAGGGAGCAACAGGTTCGACGGAAAACGCACACAGATCTTGCAGATAGCTAGGAAACAGTTAACAATGACAACCGGGCCATCAAGACCAATGTCGACGACACAGTAGTATAACAGCTGAATCCGTGAAGAACATTTCAATTCGACGATGACTGTCCCAAACAAGACGGGGAAGAGGAACAACACCGATCGGAGCACTATTGCCTCTAACCGTCACGCTATTATTCTGAACCTCACTAGATACCGCGCCAATGCCATAATTAGAGTTGACATCGTGGATCTTCAACCCTTAGTATCAAGCCCCAAAACCCAAACCCCCAAACAAATGAAATCCTATACCCCTAAACCCCCAGGTCCTGACATCAGTATCCTTAGGCCTTCCTCTTTCAGAAGTAGTTTTGTAAGTGAGGTAAGCACACGCAGACCTTCTTATCGGCCCAATGTAAGCACGTAGGACCATACGTGCAACGACCCATGAACCCTTATTACAGAACCCGACAGAACCCCACACCCCTATAACGTTGGTTGGGATTGGGGGGACCCTTAGGGATATAGACCCTCGCAGATAAGGTCACTTTTAAGAGAGCCAGAAGTAGGCTCAAGAAGCGTCCCCTTCACGGGGTCTCCCTAATACTACCTAGGACCCCCCGGAGCGACCCTACAGTGGCTTACATCTACCCGACAGCCCTCCCACCTGGTTCTCGGACGAGGAAATATACCCTCGGACAACGGGGTGTCATGCGAGAGAAAAACCAACTTAGGGCTTAGGCTCCAGTGATGTTTAAGGTTTAGGGACTTAGGGGATGTGGGATGTTTCGTGTCTAGAGCATACATCGCCTCGAGCGCAGCATCGCATGGTAACAGTAACACCATAATATGGGTGGTTGTCGAAACAGGGTGCCTTTTTGGGTACCCTAATCGCTAGGTGCCGTAGTAAGGACCCAAGAAGGGACCCTAATTTTGACAACCACTCATATAAACTGCACTCTATCGAACTATCTACATATATATATATATATATATATATATACATTATATATATATATATATATATATATATATATAGATATGTAGAGAGAGAGAGAGAGAGAGAGAGAGACACACACACTAGAATTGTGACATAGGAGGCCTCTAGGTAAGCCAAGTTCTATTTTATTTTCGGATTCGGTTTTGATTCAGTTTAGATTCAATAGCCCGATTCGGTTTTCATTCACTTATCATATGCGGTTTGCTTGGATGCGCGCTCTTTCCTTTTTCTCTTTCAACGGGCAGGAAGTTCCGGTCAAGCTCCACTTGCATGCAAAAAGAGTGTATGGACAAATGCCATTTAACCTGCAGTCGCGGCAATGCCACGGTAGGGTATTAAACTTCGTCGTTGTCACCGTTGTCACCGCGTTGGCGTTGTCATCGTTGTCGTCGGCGTTGGCGTCGCAGTCGTGGCGGCCGGAAACTAATCACTATACTGACTGACCATATGTAAGGACCCTTGACTTGACTCCATCCCAGTCTTATGCCAGGGTTCGAGGGGTGTGGCACGGAGAAGCGGGGCCGTGGTGGTGGGGGGGGGGGGGGGTTGGCGTACCAGGTGGGGGGGTCCCAACCAAAATTGAATAGCGTTCCCACCGTCGAGCAGGAGTCCCAAACCAGGTTGAATTGAAACTGAATTGAAAATTGAATCGCGCGAGGCGTGGTTGAAGCAGCCAAAACGATGCCCAAACGGACTCAAAATTTGAATTGCTCGTGCCTTTAAACAAAAGCTGACCAATTCAATTTCAATTCAATTTGCCAATTCAATATTGAATTCAATTTCAATTCAAAATGGGCCTGGTTTTGGTTGGGGTCCCGAGGGGCCCAGTTTGAATCGAAAATTGAATTCAAAATTGAATTCAGAATCGAGTCCAAACCGGGTCCCAAATTGAATTCGATCCGCGACCTTTTTAGATTATAGCGAATTCAATTTTGAATTCAATTTTGAATTCAATTTGGGCCTCTTTAAGGGGGGGGTCCGGACCCCCCCAAATTGAATTCAAAATTGAATTCAAAATTGAATTCAACATCGAGTCCAAACCGGGTCCCAAATTGAATTCGATCCGCGACCTTTTTAGATTACAGCGAATTCAATTTTGAATTCAATTTTCAATTCAAATTGGCCCTGCCGGGGCCCGATCCCGGGGGGCGCCCGGAGGGGGGGTGCAGAGGCCATTTTCGGGGGTCCGGACCCCCCCAAATTGAATTCAAAATCGAATTCAAAATTGAATTCAAAATTGAATTCGTTGTAATCTAAAAAGGTCGCGGATCGAATTCAATTTGGGACCCGGTTTGGACTCGATGTTGAATTCAATTTTGAATTCAATTTGGAATTCAATTTTGAATTCAATTTGGGGGGGTCGGGACCCCCTCTCCGAACTCCCCGAAAACCCCTGCAGGGGCCCTCCCACGCCTTGGTGGGGGGCTCCCTCCTCCGGGGTGTGACCCCTCTTTGAAATTGAATTGCGCCCCTTTTCCCCGCGCCCCCCAAACCCCGACCGGACAATCCCCAAACCCTTCCCCCAAACCACCCTCAAGCCCTCATCGGACGACCCTTTGCCCTCGAACCTGGCTACGCTACTAAGTACTCTACTACTTACTTACTACTTCACGCGGTAGTGCCGGTAGTGACCGGTAGTGGCTCCTTACTTCCTGATGGTGGCGATTGGGAACACCAACTAGTAACTGGTATTCGTCCTTTCTGGCCCGTGGGTACGGGCGAAGCCGAAGGAACCGAACTTGAACCTGTGAGTGAATTGAGCCTCGGGTCCCCCCAAACAGCGACCCCCAAATTGAATTCATCATTTGAATTGAAACCGGATTGAAACTGAATTGGCAAATTATCTGGTAAATTAGCAACCTAGAGGATTTTCTATGTCACAACACTAGAATCACATACGTACTGCAATACTGTAATATGTACTGTAACACTATATTATGGACGGTGATGCAAGTCTCTGTTCGGATTCGGCATCCCAGGAGCAATCCAAGCTCTTGGAGTCTCGTCTCAAGGGCTTGCAACCCAGCCTAGACCCAAGAGTATCCTAGGAATAAAAAGGGTGCCCTTTTTGGTTTAAAGGGGCTTATAAGGGAACCTAACCCTTAAAAAAGGTCCTTTAAAAGTTCCTTTAAGGGATGCGACACCGTGCTGAAAAAGCCGGGTTGAAGCTCAACACCCTATGGAAGTGGCTTAGATTTTGGGGTTTAGGGTTCAGGGTTTAGGATTTAGAAGCCCGCAAAGCTGTTTCCTATACCCTAAACCCCTTTACCCTAAACCCTAAAACCCTAAACCTCATACCGGGGCACCTCAACTGCGAAACTTACCAAGCGCCCCTCAACTTTCACCCTCAACCCAGAAGGCCCTGAACCCTACCCAGTGTTAGGGTTTAGGGTTTAGGGGATCCGAACTATAAAACTGGTTTAACCAAAAAAGGAACTACAATGGAAAATATATTGACAATATATAGTCATACCCCTAGGCCCCATAGTAGTTCATTTTTTGGATTACCTTATAGGCTTATAGGATTCTATATACGAAGCCCAAAAAGGAACTACTTTGGGGCCTTAGGGTAGTCACTAAACATGAACTCACTAAAGCGCCTAAACCCTAAACCGCTAGATTTAGGACGAACCCGTCCTAATCCTAAAGTCTGAACCCCACGTGAGCCCCCCAAAATCCCCTAACTAAGGGAACATACCTCAGATCATAGAGGCCTTGATATTCTGATTTAAGGCATATTCCTTACTTAAGCGGTTTAGAGTTTAGGGTTTAGGGTGGGGATCTCTGGGGAGCCCCAAAATACCAGGCCGAGGCACCCAGAAGTTTGCACAGCTCCGCTTCTCGGCCGATGAGGCCCTCTGGTGACGAACGGTTTAGGGTTTATAGGGTTCATATGGGGTCTATAGGGTCTAGGGAGTTATAGGGTGTACAGGAGTTTAGGGTCTATAGAGGGTCCCTAACACTAAACAATTTCAATTTACAGTCCTCCATTGATGCCGTGGCTGAGCCGTTCGCGAGCAGACGCAGCGAGCTCTGGGCGAGCTTTGGCCGACTGTAAAGAAACGGCGGGAGGCAAGGGCAACACCCCTCCATCCAAGGCTCCCTACACCCTGAACTCTAAACCCTTAGCCCACATAGAATCCTAAACCCTAAACCCTAAACCCTGAACCCGAAACCCTTAGCCCACATAGAACCCTTATGGATCCTTCAGGAGCTCTCGTAGAACACTGAGACCCAAACCTCCTAAACCATGGACGAAGGGCGCCTGTAAGGGTACCCTTTTGAGGGCTCCTACACGGCTTTCGCCTTCAAAGTTGCTGCCCTTAGGGTTTAGGGGATTAGGGTTTAAGGTAACTCCTCTCTTTCCGTGGAGAAACTATTCCGTTCGTTGGATGATTGGCGGATAGCCATTTGCTCCGATAAGAAGAAAGCTGGTACTCAAAGTGGTTGGAACCAACTACTCAAAGGCCCCAAAGTAGTTCCTTTTGGGGGTTCGTATATAGAATCCTATAAGGTAATCCCAAAAAGGAACTACTATGGGGCCTCTGGGTAAGGTTTAGGCTGTGGGGCTTGGAGTTAGGGTCTTCGGTCAAGGGTTTGGGGCAATCAGTCATCGTTCAAACCCCCTGCGTACGTGTATACATCTCCAAGCTCTATGCGAACGATTCATGAACGTGTGCTTGGTTTTGTAGACGGCGTATGTCAGCTTGAGCCGAAGGCAGTGCGGAATCAAAGTCGAATCAACTGTGCATGAATCCGACAGATCCATCACTTGACAGATCCGCGATGAAGGGATTACCTAAGGTTTCGGGCTCAGGGGCTCGGTGTAAGTATGTGCACGTGAGGGCAGCGAGAACAAACGAACAAGGACTTCAAAGACTCGAGCACGGTCATGCCTGGGGTAATTGGAAGTATGCCTCCACTCGGCGTCGCGCAGTTAGGTTCCGTCAACATCACCATAATCATCCTCTGTTGGATTAAGCATTGGGGATATAGACCCCTTAATACGGTCCCTGTTAAGAGAGCCAGGAAGTAGGGTTAAGAAGGGTCCCCTTCAAGGGCTCTCCAGAGGGGGCCGAGTAATTAGGACAGGGTTTTGGGGTAGGATACCGTATAGCGCAACAGGCACGGCAAGTTGAGGGTTTTGGGTTTGGGTGCGGGTTGTGTTTGATCTGGCCCATGTAAAACCCCACCTCTCCAGTCTTCCAACCCACAGCACTTAAAGCCCTAGACCCCAAACCCCGACACCCCAAACTCGCCAGCAGCAGCCTAAACCCTGCATACATCCCTAAACCCCTAGGACCCCTAAACCCTTGTAGAACCATGATCGAATCCGAAGCACAACCGGTAAAGCAAACGGACCACCCGAACCTACCCTTGTAGAGCCCTTACACAACCAACCAGCCAACCTTATAAGACCCTTGTAAAATCCTACAAAAGCCCCTAACAAAATCTTGTCCCACAACCCATACAGAACTATTGTAGAACCCTTCTGCCCTAAAAACCAGCAACACAACCCTACTTTAACCTAAAACCCTAAACCTTAAACCCTAAACCCTGTTTCTCAGCCCCGGGCGACTTCTCACCACCCAAGGCCACAGCGGCATTCAGCCGCGCCGCGCGAGAGCCACTCCTTGGGGCTACCGAAGATCATCTCAAAAGCCCTTTTTGGGGTCTAGCGTTTAGGGTTTAGGGTTTAAGGTGTAGGGTTTGGGGTCTGGGGCTTAGGGTTTAGGGTTTAGTAGACCCAAGAGTAACCTAGGAATAACAAGGGGGCCCTTTTTGCCCTAGAAAAAGGGAATGAAGGCCTACTCTAGGTCCTAGTTTAGGGCTTAGGTAAAAGAACACACCGTAGATCACGTGCAGGACCATCTGCAACTTCAGGTGTATTGACTCCTCAACCGGCTTCTGGAGTCTAGCAGAGGACGCAGAGCTCATTTTTCCTAGGACCTAGAGTAGGCCCTTATTCCCTTTTTCTAGGGTTCAGGTTCCCTTATAAGCCCCTTTAAACCCAAAAGGGCACCCTTTTTATTCCTAGGTTACTCTTGGGTCTAGTTTCAGGTTTCCTATGTAAGGACGTTCTGTTGAAGCCCTTCAGCTTCGGGTTTGGACGTAGGCTCTGGTAAACCGAGAAACTTCAAAAGCCCTCAATGAAGCACCCTACCTCAAATTTTGGAGTGAGATTCGCCGTGATGTCTCAAGAGACTAGACTTCGAATCTGAAACGCTTGCAGTCATATAGGGGCTAGAAGGGGGCCATGTTTGCTGAGCATTCAAAAGCTTGTATGGCCCTGGCGAGAGGGTTGGGCTTTAGGCTTCATTGTGTCGGGCTCAGGGGTGAGGGAGGGAGCTTGCAGATGAGTACAAACAGTCAGTGCACCAACGATGCAAAGCGTAGCCAAAGAGACTGCCAGCTACCGACACGCACACACATGATGCGAATGCTTGGGGAAAATGATAACAAACAGAAAGGCAACAGGACCAGGACTAAAATACCTACTGACCAGTACCTATAACAGAATTGCCCGTCTGGGCCTGGGGTATATACGGCAGATACCCTAAACCCTAAACCGGATAGCAGTATCATTACAGAAGGTTGGAGATGTGAGCTGCAGGATGCCGGAGCCTTAAACCATCAATCCCGTAGAACCCTCAAAAATCCTTGAATAAAGTTCCCTAAGGGTCCATGTGCCCAAATAGTATGTACTTTGGGCCCAAAGTGCCTGTGTAGGGACTACTTTAAGGCCAATGTATATACTATTTAGATACATGGACCCTAAGGGCTTCGTAAGGTAACCCTCCACCCCTAAACCCTGACATAAGGCATTGAATACATGGAACAGGGCTGCATCAGTCCAGGACAATGCCCTGCTCCTGGAGGATAGCGAGGTAAGCCAACTTCTCCTCTCTTTTTCTCTCAATCCTCGCAGCCTTTTTGGCTGCCTCTTTCTTCTTGGCCTTCCATGCCGTGGAAAGCCAGTCCCATTGACAGCACCTCATCGCCTGCGCCCATTGCTCGGCCCCTGTGGCCCTGCACCGGGTACCGCCCGAGCGACGGGGCGCGAGCCCGGCAATTGTCCTCCGCGGTGTCCGGAGAGGAAGGCGTCGAACCCACAAACGGGTCCTTTACGGGTCTTCCAGGCATGACTCGCAGACAGGTGTTTCAGGGCGCAGCACAGCCCTAGCATTCTCGCCAAGGCTTGGTACAGGCGGTCGGATTCCTGGAACAGGGCTTGGAGATGTATATCATAGTATACTTATGATGAGGACCCTACACCCGAAACCTGGTAGTATACTTATGATAAGGGAACCCTGAGGAGTAATGCTTTTAGTTTTTCAGGCTTCCGTATGAAAACTAGGATCCCAAGTAATCTAGGAATAAAATGGCTCCTTATTTTGGTACTGTACGGTGTCATGAGGAACCTAAGACTACAAGAGTGAAAAAGGGCCCACTGGGAGACCTATAACCTAAACGTGTGAAACCTAAACCCTAAACCCTAAACGGCTTCTGTGTGAAAACCTAAGCGCCCGCTTTCCCTAAGGCTCACAATGGCCCAAAAGCCTTATATGGTATGGTCTTTGGGCCCAAAGGCCTTTTAATATGAGTCCTTAGAGCCTTAGGGTTTCCGTGCTCACCGCGTCACTGCACAGATCGGAGGCTGTACGACGCGCCCTCAGCCACCTGAGCACCACTTGGAGGCTCAGGGGTTCCCTTCAAGGATCGAAGGTAGGGAGCCAGAAAGCACATAAGCATAAGCATTTCATGGGGATATCCCTACCTTATTGGGCTTCATTATAAGGGATTTATATGGGATATCCCTACCCTAATGTTTGCTTATGTGCTTTTTTGGGGCCCTAGAAGAACGAGGGGTACTTGTAAGGGGTTCTATAAGGGTTTGGGGGTTCAGGTGTTTTGGGTTTAGGCGTTGAGGAGTGCAAGGCTTGGGGTCCAAGGCACTTAGTTAGCGCGCAGGGCTTCACAAGGAGGCGTTTATGAGGGCTCTGGTGTATATTTGCTTGGGTTTTCAGTGGACTGGGCACGTCAGCTACAACTAGTGGCTTAATTAATGAGGATAGGCCCAGTGAGGGAACTTTTGACCCTAAGTCCACTGAACCTCCATCTAATCGCGTGGAGCAAAATGGAACTGACACGGGCCGCCATGAAGGATCCAGCATATAGCAGCTATAGGCTATAGCAGATACTATAGCATTCAACAAGATGTTGAACTCTCACCCTGAACCTGGAAACTCCCAATCCTAAAAAAAACGACCACCTTGCCTTTGACGCCTGAACTCTAAACCCGAAGCCCCTGAACCCCTAAAGCCCTAAAGCCCCAAACCCCTAAAAACCCTTACACTCCTAAACCCCTGAAGCGGGGGGGGGGGAGGCATGCCGATGCCTCTGCCATGACGGACTGCACCCATCGAGCTCCATCCGCTTTCTGCTGGATCACCTCGTGGTGCACCTGCATGCGGGTTTCCGAAAACAAGGACCCTGATATAATACCTTAAATAGTAAGATCCTTATTATAAGGACCCCCAAATGAGCTACCCCTAATTTTCGGAAACTCCTGCATGGCGCAAGCCCATCGTGATGATGCTGCTGATGACGATGTGCATACGATGCTGATGATGAATGATGATGGTGAGGGTGAGAAGGTGATGGTGAAGGTGGTGGTGAACCTGATGATGGCTATCATGACGATGCTGATGGTAGTGGTGCTGATGATGCTGCTGCTGATGCTGATGCTGATCATGACCACGGCGATGATGGTGACGGGGATGGCTTTACAAGCAACTCGCAAAAACAACGACAAAAAGGAATTCGTGCGTGGGAACCCACCATGCAGGGAAGAGAAATCGTGCTTTCGAAGGCAAATGAACCTGAACCCCGAAACCTCACCTGAAGCACGAAATCATAAACTCCGTTCCCTGAACATTGAAGCCGAAACCTTTGGCCCCAAGCCTTACCCCCGCTCGTTGCGGGATAAGCTAAAGCGAACGGTAACGAACATCTGATCTGTTTTCCGCTTATGACACACTGCAACTACAAGGAAATCAGACCTGATACCTTGCGCTTGGAATCCGGAGCTTCGGGCTTGGGGTTTGGGGAGACTGAAATCCAAAAACCCTGACCATTTAACCTGCATTTAAACCCGCAACTCTAAACCCTAAACCCTCAGATCCGTAAACCCTGAACTCCTAAGGACCTAGACCCTAAACCCCAAACCCTAGACCCCAAACCCTAAACCCTTAAATTAAGCCGGTCTGTTGCCCCGGGGCTTTCGGAGTTCAGTGTTTTGGCCTGCAGCCGAAAAGACCTACCTTCTTAGGGTTCCTTATTATGGTTTCTGCATATAATTCCTTGAAAAGGTTGGCCTTATCGGCTACAGGCAGACCCCAAACTCTACTCGAACCGCGGGGGCCTTAACAATTAGAATAGGGTTTTGGGGCATATTATACAATCACGATAAGGAACCCCCGCAACAGTATAGGTAATCATTTAGGCCCCTATAGTAACCCCCCCACCTGAAACTCTACTCAAACCGTTTAGGGTCTTGGGTTTGGGCTTTGAAGTCGATCTCTGATGCTCGCCTCAGCTCCCTCGCCCGCGACAACCTGAGCTGCGATGTCGCGTGAGCTCTTCTGTGCCCGAAGTCCAATAAAAGGGCTTGAATACTGAAAAAAAGCAGACTTGTACTAGAAATGGGCTCCGACCCCCATATTTGTCTGTGTCGATGATTGTGACGATCGACGAGCGCTTAAAGAGAGAGCAGAGAAATTGAGAAAGACGAGCAAACCAGTCTAATGGGACTCGACTATTTGCAAAGCAAGCTGTTCGACGAAAGACTTGAGAATTTGACAAGGAGGAGTGTTTGTGAAAGAGGGGCGAAGCAAGCGAACGGGAAAGAAATTAGACAACTTGACAAACAGGCGTACTTGACAAAGAGAAGCAAACGAATCGAAAAAGACCTACGAATCGAAAAAGACTTTCCACTTTGAGAACCAGGAGCAAGTCGCTAGGAAGAGACTGGCGAAGCGAAGCTAATGATGATGGTGGGCGTTGTGAAGATGACGCTGCTGGCGGCGCTGGTGGTGATGACCCAGAGAACCCAATACCCCTTAATTAAGGAATATACCGTACCTTAATCATAATATCAAAACCCCTATAATTTAAGGTATATTCATTAACTAAGGTGTGTTGGGTTCTGTGGAGATGATGACCATGATGACCATCAAGGCAATGACCGCCGCCGCCGTGCGCTGCCCCCGGCCGCCCCTCCACCCCTTCATGCGGGTCATGACGAGGACAAAGACCATGATAATGGTGATGATGATGCTGCTGATAATGATGACGATGGTGATGATGATGATGATAAAAACGATAATGACTATGCAACTTGCAACTGCTGATGATGATGGCGACTATGGTGATGCTCGTGATCGCAACGACGATGCGAGCTAGTGTCAATGATTCCGGTGCTAATGTCCTGTGGTCACTGATGATGATGGTGATAGCAATGCTGATGCTGACGCCACTTGATGTTGGTGACTCTGGTGGTAATGCCGCGAGGTGATGATGCAGCTGAAGATGAGTATGATGGTGGTGGTGGTGGTGGTGGTGCTCCTGAGGGTGATGGTCGCTGGCCTTGGTGGTGTGGGTGGCGTTGGTGGTGATGTTGATGCCGACGCCAGCGCCGATGTCGCTGGAGGTCATGTTGTGGTGGTCGTACGCAGGACGGGCGTGGCGGTGGCCCTAGGTTGCCCTGAGGGTGAGTCGCAATTAATGGAGGGCGCGTATTAAGCATTCCGGTATGTGACTCTTGGTAATTGTCAAGCCCACTGCTGCCATCTATGCATGTCCTGCCGAGTGCCAACTACACTTACGAGAGTCCTTTCGGGTTGCTCTTCTGGAAACAGCTCGCAGGGGAGTATCCGTGCTGTCATATTCTCAACTTGCTTGTTAGCACCGATGCTCAGGCGAAAATAGCACGACTTTCCCCTAGGAGCCCTGGATTCGCAGCCCTGAACCTCAAATCACTGCCGACCCAAGCCCTTGAGAAAGACGCAGAGGCCCCAGCGCGGCAGAGACCATTGGATAACGCTTCATCCGACCTTGGCCGAAGAATCGAAGAGCAAAATGTGTCGAGGTTGGTGGCCTCATTTACGATTGAGGGCTGGGATTGCCCAAGCTCGTGAACCCTAAACCCTAAACCCTAGACCCTAAACCCTAAACATAAACCCTAAAACCCTAAAACCTAAACCCTAAACCCTAAACCCTAAACCCGAAACGAAACCCCGAACCCGACTCTGAAACCAAGACGAGAGACCCCAACCTTCAGGATGCCAGTCGCCCGAAAAACTTGACTAGGATACCCAGTAACCTAAAGAACAAAAAGGCCTCTCTTTTTGGTATTGGGCAACTTTATAAGGAACCTAGGACTACAAAAAAGGAATAAGGGTACTACTGGGCATCCTAGTTGAGGTTGAACTTTAATCTGGGTTCTTGTTAAGGAACTTGAGTTTAAGTTGCCATGATAGGGACCTTTAAGGGTTCTTTGTCCGGGATCCATATTCTGGATTCTTGTTAAGGAATTCGATTGAAGTTGCCATAATAGGGACCTTTAAGGGTTCTTTGTCCGGGATCCATATTCTGGATTCTTGTTAAGGAATTCGATTGAAGTTGCCATAATAGGGTTCTATAGCAAATAGCATAATGGATTCTTCATTATGGTAACTTAAACCAAACCACTTAACAAGCACGCAGCAATCCCCTAAACCCCAAGAACCCTCAACCCCCAAACCCCTAAAACCCAAAACGGCAACAAGCCAAGCCTAAACCCCTGCAGCCCGAAAACACAAAACTCCAAGAATCCTGGAACCCCTAGAAGACTAAGAACGACGCAAAGAACCTTAAGAAATCTAAGCATCGGAAACGGCTGAACCCTAAACCATAAAACTCCAAAATCCTACAACACCTACAAACCGCTAAAAGCACCCTGCAATAATGCAACAGCCCTCAAACCTCAAGAACCCTGAACCCCTAAATGCCTAACAACCCTAGGACCGAAAACAAACTAAGAAAAGATTTGACGGCCCTTGCAAACAACCCTAAAGGTCACCTGAGCGAAAGATACACAAAAATCACAAGCTCTTGGCAGCCTGAGATCTCGGCTCAGACAGGCTCAGGTGTGTCTCCAAGACCTGGAGAGTTTTAAGGGCTTTGGACTTAGGGTTCCTTGATTTAAGGAACATAGGGTTGAGAGGTTAAGGGTTAGGGTACCTTTAAAGGCTGATAGTAGGTAAGCTTTGGGGTTTGGCGTTTAGGGGTTCCTTTCAGAAATTACGGATGCGGCCTTGGGGTTTAGGCAAAACAGCAAGAGGGTGTTCGGCCCGAGCCTCTACGTGGCCCAGTTGTGATTTTCAAAGGTGCTTGGGTTTTGGGTTTCCGCCCCCCAAAGCCCGAAAGCATCTTGGAATCCTCTACCTAACAGCATGAGAAGCCTTTGGAATCATCTACGTACCTAAACCCTAAATCTCAACTGCGACCCCTCAACCCTCAACCCTCCCAAACCCCAATAGAAACCAACAAAACCAAAATCAGAACCCAAATCAAACCCACAGAACTTTAATCCCAAGCTGAACCCTAAACCCCGAAAACCTGAACCCTAGACCCTAAGCCCTAAACCCTGAACCCTAAACTCTAAACCCTAAACCCTCAACCCTAACCCAAATGCAAGGCCCGACCTTGAGCTTTGATCCTGCACCGACGTCCAGCACCACCCTTGGAGCTGTCGCGCCTCGGATGGGATTGGGATTTACAAGGATTTAGGTTTTTTCTGCTTAGAGTTTAGGGTTTAAGATTTTTTGATGTGGGGTTTAGGGCTTACGGTTTAGGGCAAGTTTCAGGTTCAGGGGGCAAAACGAAGGACGGGGGATCTACAGCTTTAGGCCATCCTGAACACCGCGTGAGTTGGTCCTTAACGATTTCAGGGGTTAGGGTGTGGGGTTTAAGACGCTTTTAGGGCGTGGGGTTTAAGATTCAAGGGTGTTTTTCAGTTAAGGGTCTAGGTGACTAAGGTGTTAGGGATTAGGACTTTGAGGAGGGTTCAAGGGTTCAGAGCTTGGGGATACCATGGATGCTTGAAAACTCAGAAGTACGTACATGTAGGATGGGAAGTGGTCTAGAAAGCATGCATAGTCTACTTTCAACCCCGGATAGAGAACGCCCCAAATCCTGCAAGCAGAAGAAGCAGAACGCTCCCCAACTCGAAAAACCGATGTCCTCAACTCCAACCCTGAAAAGCCTTCGTTAAAGGCTAAGACACGGGGAACAAGAACAAGAAGAAGACGGCAGCGTAACAGCGGCTGAAGCCGTTAGGACACGTTCGGTGATTTGAGACTCTGCTAGAGATGCCACTCAAATTGCTTAGCTCCACCAAAGCTCCTCAAGTGCTACTAAAACCCCGAACATCCCAAGCTCAGAAGCCCTCAACCCTGAAACCTTCAATTTTGAAGACCCGAAGTAATTAATGACTTCAGACCTGCAGAAACCTTGCGGCACCACCTTCATAAGGTCCCGTTCTGCGGCCTCCCTTAGCCCGAAAACCCCAAAGCCCTCAACCCAGTCTGCGCCAGCTCTGCCAATTCTAGCCCGGCCACGTGCTCCAGTCGTCGCGAAGACCTCGAAATTCGAAGCTTGAGGCTTACTGTGGGGGTCGGCGCGTCAGACTGTTGGCCTGTGAACCAGGACCCTGAACCAAAACAGCCTGAACACCTCTTAAACTCCAAACCCTGGACCCAAATCTCTAAATCCTTTTGCGACGGTGCCCAGCCGGATGTAATGTTGTGATAGAAGAGGCGACGACGAAGTCCTCAATTCCCAAAGAGCCCTAAACCCACAAATAAGTGCGCCAAATTCATGACATTACAACAAAGTATACCTCCATCGTTTATCCTTGTCCAACGGGTGTCGGGCTGTCTTGGTACAAGAAACCGATGCAAAACTCCGCGTGGAGACAACCTCCGAACGTGGCGGGGGGTAGTGTAGGATTTTCTCTGCAGAGGCGCCCACGTCTCTATTTTTTGCAACTACCACAACCTGGAGTTTACTTGAGAGATCTCTAGGACCCTAAACCCCAAGAGCCCAAAACCCTAAACCCTACTGAGATTAATGTTCAATTCGGACGGCTAGCCAAAAGACGGTTTAGGGTTTAGACGGTTTAGGGTTAAGGGGTTTAGGGTTTAGGGGCTTAGGGTAAAGACATCTGAATCTACATCGGCTCTAGGTGAAACACTGAGAATGTGTAAGAACTCTCAACCTACAGGTATGTCCTCAACTCTAACCCTGAATCCAAAAAACCAAAATGCTGAGCCTCAGAGCCCTGAAGGCCTAAACCCTTGAGCCACGGAACTCTGAAACCGAAACCCTGAGGCTCCAAACCCTCCCTAAACAGCCAAACGGCAAGGCCCTTAAACCCTAAACTGCCGAAACACTCAAACCCCTAACCACTCAAACCGCAAGGCCCTTATACTATACTCAAACCCTAAACCCCTGAACCCCCCCAAAAAAACACCGTGGACTCAAATCTCGGCTGCGGGCGATGTCCATGCGCGTCTCCGGCGCATCCTGTGCAGAGCCATCGGGACGAACGGCTCGTGTGTTTCAACCGAAACCCTACCCCTGAAACCCGAGACACCCTACTCTAAACCCCAAACGCGAAAAACCCTAAACCCTAAACCCTAATACTAGTTCCTCAAACTTAGGCCCGAAGCCATAAACCCCATCAAACCCGAAGCACTAACCCTAAACCCCATACCCAGAAAAGGCCCACAACCCCGCCTCGTGCAAGGCTACACAGGCAGCATCCTTGAAGACGGCCTCGAAAAGACTATGGGGCGTGAGACAAGGGGCCTTTACGATTAGAATTTGGTTCCTGGGACGCTGATCACTTAAAAGACTCGCGAGAGGGGACACGTCGCATACTTGGATCCTTCAACGGTGCTGCTTGAGGATTCATCCAGGGGTTTCTAGAGGTAAGGGGTTAATTGCTATTGAGGCTTAGCATAGGGGCGTTGATGTTTAGAATGGTGTTCCTTTGTTCCTTTAAGGGTCCCGAATAAGGGTTCTTACAACTCACTCCACGACCAGCAACTCCTTAACACGAACAACTCAAAACCCTGAACAAGCTCTCTGCGACAGGGGCCTTGATAATCGGAATATTTATTGTCCATGTGCACTGTAATATACGGTAATTATGTGGGGTCTCTACGAGAATAGTATTAGCAATGAGAGGAGCCAACTCTCTGTCCATACTACATAGTTACGTACATACATGTGCACATACATGTGTATATATATATATATATATATATATATATACAGAGATATGTATCATTTCTGTATACCTATATGTATATATATATATATATATATATATAGAACGTGATGGATGTGTGCATGCCTCTTGTAATAACGGAAATTCTGCATATTTTCCATATTGCTCGTATATTTGTATCTAGACGATAAGGGAAGGGTGTTACAAGCAACGTTTCGGGCCCTTTCACAAAACCCACAGGAGCGAAGCCCCTAAACCCGAAACCCCAAACCATTTGGAGGTTCATGGGACTTAGTAAGTACAGTTGTAAGTACCTTAACTGGGGATACAACCAGTTATAAGTATAGTTACCTTATTCATAACCCTAGTTACTAAGTGCCATGAACCTCTAAGTAGACCCTTAACCCTAAACCCTATAGATCCCATTGTGGATCCCTATAGATCCCTTTAAGGAGCCCTTTAAGGAACCCTAGTTACTAAGTACCATGAACCCCAAACCATGAACCCGAAACCCAAGCCTGATTCAGCGCCGCAAGCTTGGCACAGCCGAGCCTCTGGGATTCAGGCAGATGAGGGCTGGGAAGCTTAAGGGTTTAGGGTTTAGGGTGTTGTTTTAGCAGGGCAGGGTTTAGGCTTTAAGCTTGAGCCTCTAGGTTTTGGGATTTCGGGCTTAGGGCGCTCTTGACTGCTCAAAATCGTGGTTCCTGTGTCGTGGCCTTCACGGGCTTGAGGTCTAGGACTGGAAAATTACGCTAGCAGGGAGGTAATTGGAAGTTGGAGGTCCTGGTTGGGATGCCTTGACCCTAAATCCTCACAGGACCTGTGTATAACCCTTACAGAACCAACACAGAAACCCTTGAAAACCTTCTGGAGCCCTGATAGAAACTTCAGATTCAGAAGTTAGGTGTTCTTCTAGAGCCCTGATGGAAACATCGGACTAAGAAGTTAGGTATTTTGTTCTTCTATTCTTCATGGGTCTTAACACAGGTGCCCAACAAATTGGACTAGGGTTTGGAGGTCTACGTTCACACATGTTAGATGTAGCAAAGCGAAGATGGGCACCATCAGTCCGCATTCCGACCATACATTGACGCTTGAAGTTGCATGCCCACCAGAAGGCATCTCCATCAGGTCTGCGGAACCCGCCACCGAATGAACTCGTGCCCCACCTCTTTCGCAGGTCAAGCGGCTTACGATCCTCCTCTTGCCTTTACCTGCAAAATCGCAAGGCCTCCATCAAGTTGTTCCTGGAATCAAGGCCCTACCCAGAACCCCACTGCGCCGAAAAGCCCTTCAAGGGCACCCTACTTTCAGACCAATCAGACCTCGAAACACCCGAGCCCAACAACCTGACCCCAGCGACCTGTCGTACACAAAACCACACAACCCCTAGAGCCCCAAGCCCGACAAAGAAGGTAGGCAATTACCTCTTAAATTCCCAGAAGCCTTACAGCAGTGGGTAATGGGAGCCACAGGTAACGTAGTGGCCTTGGTTAATTAAAGAAGGCTATTGTATTACAGACACGCGTACTTACAACAGGGATTGCAAGGGGATAGCGTTACGAACTCCGACCCCCAAACCCCTTAACCCTAAACTTCTAAACCCCTAAATCCCTAGACCGTAAACCCTAAACTCCCTGAATCCCGGCTCCTGTCTTTCGGGTTGGCTTCGAAAAGGTCAACTTCTGGCCTGCCGAAAGCTTTGCACGCTGCAGAGCCCGGAGACTCCGAAACAGGAATTAAAGAACATGCATGCCTTAGGGTTCCTTAAAGGGATCTGTAAGGGTTCTATTAGGGCTCTATATATAAGGGTTCTACAAGGGAATTAAGGAAGATACCTTAATTACAACCTATAGTAAGACCCCTGATATGACTCAAGGTATACTCCTCAATTACGGGATGTTGGAGTCTTTGCGGGTTTGGGGGGGGCGAGTAGTTTGGGGACCCGAAAGTAGGTCGAAGACTCTAAACCCCAAGCCCCCAAACCTTTAAACCCAGAAGTTCTGAACCCTGAACCTCTGAACCGAAAACTGGCCTTCCTTATGCTAAGAGCTTGATTCCATTCGGCTTGGGTTCCGGTGTTGGAGCTCTGAGGCCTAGAGCATGGGCTGCATGTGAAAACTGTTTCGGGTTCTATAAGGGCTCAGGGATCTATGCAGCTTCTACAAGCGTACTATACAGGTTTAAGGGTTGTCAGTATAGGGAATAAGGATCTAGGGTGTGGGATTTAAGGATTTAGGGTTGTGGGATTGGAGCTTTGCATTTCGGGCTTCGGGGTGGGCTAGCTGTCTGTGGATGTTGCTGACTGAGCTTTGTTGGTTGGACAACGGTCTTCGGGGATTAGGGTTAAGGGATTAGAGACCACGGCAGGACCACGGCTATGTCTGTTTATGCCGGCCCCCAGCTACACTGCTGCTCTGCTCACCTCAAAGTGTAGGGTCAGTGCACCGTCGGGCGTTCCTGAACCCTCAAACCCTTTAGCGGTGCCTCAAAACCCTTGCGATCGGGGGGCTTGGAGATTAGGGGTGGGCTTCGAGTTTAGGGTCTAGGGTCTAGGGTTTAGGTCCTACGGCCCCAGGGCCTACACCATACACCCTAAACTAAACGCCACAGCTCCAAACTTATGCACCCTCATCTCCAAGTGCTGACACCCAAGCCGAAACCCTTAGGATCGGGCGAAGCGACCCTTTGGGACACTCAAAAGCCTGACAAAAACGTTTTGAAACTTCGATTTCCAAACCCTAAACCCCTAGAAACAACCCTAGACCCCTACACCCCTAAGCCCCTAAACCCCTAAACACCTAACCCCTAAACCCCAAACCCCAAACCCCTAAACCCCTAAACCCCTAAACCTACCCAGACCCCCCTAAACCCCAAAACCCCTAAACCCCTAACCCCTAAACCTTCAAGTCTTCGAGGCTCTGGCAACTGCTGCAGCAAGCTGTCAAACCGGCCCTTCGTCTCCTCGCCTCGGCTTTGGGCCGAATGTATCGGCCTTGCCCTACTTGGAGGGTCGGGGGACTTAGTAACTTGTTATTTTAGGGACTTATAAGTAACCTTAACCCCAACTAGGGCCCCTTTTAAGGTACTTATAAGTCTACTTACTAACTACTTACTAAGTCCCCCGACCCCCCAAGCAGGGCTCTAAGGACTCATGTATTAAGGCAGTTGGGAACAAAGACCATGCTATACAAGGCTTTTGGGCTATTTTCTTCCCCGATTAGAAACGGGTTTAGGGCCCCGTTATGGTGCAGTGATAGTAAAGAACCCCGAGGAATCGTGTTAATAGTTATTGGCAAGCTTCTAAATTGTAGGGTTTACGATGTAGGGCGTAGGGCTTCTAGGGCATAGGGTCCAGGGCTTAGGTTCAGGGCTTGGCAGGGTTTCGGTGCCAGGGTTTAGTGTCCCATGGCGTCTTGTATTGGAGTATAATGCGTTGTTGGGTCTTGTGGGCCTGTACGGTGCTTACGGGAGTTTAAGAAAGTAGGGGACACTAATACAGTACCCGAAATAGTAGGATCCTTATCATAAAAACCCAAAATAATAAGGTACCCCTAATTTTCGGAAACTCCCAAACCCTAAACCCGGAACCCTATAGATCACTTATAGGATCCTGTTATAAAGGAACCCTCAAAGGATCCCTTCAAAGGTAACCCCTAATTTTCGGAAACTCCATTATGCTGCAGGCTAAGGTGTAAGGTTTCGAGTCCCAGGCTCCGGGTTTGGGGCTCCGCTTTGGGCCTTTTTAAGGATTTATATAAGGAAATCATAATAAGGAACCCTAAAGGTAGGTTCTTCAGGGTTAATTGGAGGGTCGGGGGGCTTAGTAACTGGCTATCTTAGGGACTTATAAGTACCTAACCCCAATTAAGGTCCCTTTTAGGGTACTTATAAGTCTACTTACTCACTACTTACTAAGTCCCCCGACCCCCCAAGTAGGGTTCATGGTTTTGCTTTGGGCTGAGTGCTTCGAATTTAGGGCTTTGGGTTTTACATAGGGCTCTTAGGGATTATATAATTTGGGGGCTTTAGGTTAGGGATTATAGAATTTAGGGCTTAGGGTTCAAGGGTTTAGGGTTTAGGGGGTTTAAGGCTTTAGGGCTTAGATTTCCTCGAGGGCGCCAAATCCAAAATCCTACTGCAGAACGCCCCCCATTACCCCACCATAAGCATTCATGAAACCCACCCTAAACCCTAAACTTCACACCCCCCTAAACCCTAAACCCTAAACCCTAAACCCTAAACCCTAAACCCTAAACCCTAAACCCTAAACCCTAAACTTTACACCCTGAGCCCCTAAACCCTAAACCCTTAAAACCCTATAAAACCCCAAACCCAAAGCTCCTAAGCCCTAAGTCCCTATAGATCTCTTAAAGGAGCCCTTAAAGGTTTAATTAGGGTTTAGGGTTTAGGGTTTAGGGTTTAATGTTTTAGGGCTTAGGAGGGTTTAGAACTCTAAACCCTGAACAAAACACGCCCTGAACGCTCTGCCAAGACCCGGGCCCGATCCGTTCAGGGCCTCAAAGCCTCCAAGGAAGGCTCCCTGGCCGGTTGTTGGGCTCGAGGGTTTAGGGCCTAGGGTGGGATCTATAGGGTTCCTTAAAAGGGATCTATAGGGTTCCTTAAAAGGGATCTATAGGGTTTAGGGTTTAGGGTTTAGGGTTGAGGGTTTAGGGCCTACTTGGAGGATCATGGGACTTAGCAAGTAAGGTTATAAGTACCTTAATTGGGGTCATAAGTAAGTATAAATATAGTTACCTTGACTATAACCCTAGTTACTGAGTCCCATGACCCTTTAAGTAGGGTTTGGACTTTGAGGGTTAGGGCCTAGGGTTTGGGCTTCAGGGTTTGGGATCTAAGGTTTGGGCTTCAGGGTTTAGGGCCTAGGGTTTGGGCTCTAAGGGTTTAGGGGTACTCAAAACAGGTTCTATCTGCGGACCTTTAAGGGTTTAATGTAGGAACCTGATTAAGAAACCCTGGGCCCAATTCATATAAGGAACCCTAATAAAGGCCCAAGGTTTCTCAATCGGGTTCCTGAATTAGGGCTACTGAGAACGGGCTTTAAGGGTTTAGGTACTCCTAAGGGGTTTATGGGCTTGGGGTTTAGGGTTAGTGTTCTGTTTAGGAGATTAGGATTTAGGGGTTTGGGGCTTTAAGGGTTTAGGGGTACTGAAAACGAGTTTATCAGGGTACTTCTATGGGTTCTAGGGGCTCAGGAGTTTGAGGGTTTAGGGTCGTCGTGTAGGAAGGAGCTTAGGGGTTTAAGGGTTTAGGGATACTTAAGACGGGCTCTACCAGGATACCTCTACGGGTTTAAGGGTTTAGGGTTACTCAAAACGGGTTATATCAGGGTACTTCTAAGGGTTTCAGGGTTTGGGAGTTTGTGGGGGTTTGGGGTCGTAGTTTAGGGGCTTACAGTAGGGTTTAAGGTTCAGGGGCTCCTTTATTTGAGGATCGAATGGCTAGGGGTGCTTGAAAGGGGTTCTATAAGGGTTTAGGGGTTTCGAGGTTCAGGCTTTGGGACTTTAGGGTGGGTCGTGGTTCAGGGTTTACTGTTAAGGGGTTTAAGGCTTAGGGAATTAAGGGATTGTGGTTGGGGTTTACGGCGGTTGGCCTAAGGTCTACAGAGAATAAAAGTGTGTTGCAAGGTTGTCGTGGGTCTTTTGGAATTTTATAGCGTCTGGCATGGTTTGTACCGGGATCTGATAATGGTTTCATACTGGTTGAAGGGTGTTGCCGGAAGTTTCATCAAAACTTTTGTGTGGGGTTTCGAGGGGTACTGCATGGGTTTAGGGTTCGGGGTGTTTACTAGCTCTGAAGTTTGACGCCGATGAGGTGGTTCAATGGGCTTGTTATGGAACTGCTATGAAGTTTTATGATGTTTGTGTGGGGTTTCTTGTGGCGTGTGGGTTGCTGATCCTTATTGGGGAGCTTGACAGCTTAACTTAGCCTCCATTGCCTCCATGACAGTGGCAAACAGTTCGGCGCCGGAATGAGTGGTTTAAGGTTGATTCTTCGAGATACTGAAACTTCGAAATGTTCTTCGTTGAGAGCTTTGCGCAAGAAGTGCTCCAGGTGCTGGAACTCCGTGGAGGACAGCGCCCTCCTGCCGTTGGCTACCAGGTGGCCTGCATACGAGCCGAAGACATGATCTGTGTCTTCGTGACTGTGTCCTGACCGCAGGTTGCACAATCGGTTTGGACGGATGAGTCTATACCCGGCCTTGCACAGAAGGCTATCCAGTTATGCGGCAAGGGGCAAAGGCAAAGGGAACCTTGCCGAAACCCAGCTGCATGTTACTGACCTTAGGCAGTGTCGTTTCCGTCAAGGCGACACGCACCATGTGTCCGTGTGCCAAGACCCCTAATGAGGGAACTTGATTAAGAAACCTTGGGCCTTTATTAGGATTCCTTATATGAATCCTACTATTTGGCGGTTATAGGCCCAGGGTCTCTAACTACATTATGATGTGGAGGCGAGGGCGTGCGGCAACTAGCTTCTCGCAACCTTCGGCTCGAAGTCTCGGTTGTCGGGGTGTACTTAGAGGATCAAGTGCCGCAGTAGATCCATATGGTTTCACAAGCTACTTTGGGTCACCGCGCACCCAGATTTACGAAGATTGCAAGTCCATACACCGATGCGCATAAGGCCTCAGTTTCTACGACGAAACGCAACACCAGCAACTAAAAAACAAAAAATCGAGCTTCAGGAAACCTTCTCTGCACACCCCAACCCACAATATAGAGCAATAAATGTGAATCCCTCCCTCATAACCCCTCCACCAAAAGATACCCTATTAGATACTCTTAGATCTCATCTAACCTACCCAAAAAAACACTTAGTAAAGCACTTGCAGACACTAAAGCCCAAACCCTAAACCCCTAAACCCCCAAACACCCCCTAAACCCCTAAACCCTAGACGCCAGCTTCTTCAGATACCCCAAAGAGCCCAGGGCCTCACCGTTCGGAAGGCGGCAGAGGCCTCGCACAGCAGGTGGGGGTTGTACAACTTTCGTTTTTTGACGGGGGGGGTTTAAGGCAAGACTGTTTAGGGTTTAAGGCTTCTCGTTGCGTGGTTGGGTTTTTGGGTTTCTTTTTGGGGCTTAGGGTTTGGAGTTTCTTTGTTGGTGATTTAGGGTTCTGATGGTTTCCTTTTCCAAGGGGTTTGGGACTTCAAGGCTTTCGTGGCTCTTGGGGCCTTGGACCTTTATTTGGTTGGGGCCTTGGGCCTTTGTTCAGATCTCGGGTATTACTGCTAGGTTTCTTGTTCAGGATTCGGGACTACAGTTGTGTGTAGGAGCTCCTTCTGATACTCGCTATAATTTAGGATCGTCATAGCCTCCAGCCTTCAAGTGCACCGCCAAGAGGGTGCGCAGCCCAACAGAATGCCCGAAGCCCAACATCGTCGCAAGATCTGTCATAGTCTCTCAGCAAGCATGAGACACAGCTCCTGCCGCAGATTCCCGATCTTCGTCTCGTCTAGCTGTGCCCACTCGTACAGGACATCAACCTGTCACTGCCTGTCACTGCAACTCCTGTGCCACACTGGCGGCGCTGACCTCGTAGCAGGATGCCAGCATACTACTTGCATCTGTTGGAATCTACCTACCTTACCCGAAATCTCAAACCTGTGCTGTAAACAACCCGACAGTCTATACTGACCTTAAGAGCTTGGGCTTAGGGCTTAGGTCCTACAACAACCCTGAACCCCGAAACCTTGAAATCCTGTGCCCTGAACAGCCTAGGTGTAGGTCGATGGGCTTGGGCGGTACAACAACCTTCAAACCCTAGCTGACCTGAACCGCCCGAAAGCCTATATGCTAGTCTTACTGTTTTTCTCAGGCTTAGGCGAACCCAAATGTCACCGCAGTCAGTTTTGTGGAAATCTTCATTGGATTTTCATAGAAAGGTGCAGTCCTTTGGAAAACCCGTGTAACAGCATACCAAACAATATCCTGGAGCCTGACTGCAACTCGCCATCCACGAAAACCAGCCGATACGCCTGGCAGTTCAGCTCCGGGGTACAATGTCGGATTTCTGGGTCCTTGTTGAGGGATTTAATTCGGATTACCATACCATGGATCTATAGAAAAAATATTCTGGTAGCTTAAATTAAAACCCTTAACAAGAACCCAGGCTGTCCCGCTGCTGGGCAGGACCCTTACGTAGCATAGGAACTCGAAGAAGAACCCCCGTATGACGCCGTAAACCCAAACCCTAAACCGCAAACTGCAAACCCGAAACCCCAAACCCTCAAACCGCACACCCGGAACCCTCAAAAGCTGCCCTAGCCCTGGGCCTAGATCACGAAGCCATCGGGCGTTTCTACAGCATTTCGGAGCCCATGTACTAGGTGGGCCCAGCTTGCTCTGGTGCACAATCACATAGATTCTAGAGCTCATACATACACTACTCCCTAGAACCTAAACCTTTACAGTCGGGTGATAAGCATAATCTGCATATTTAGAGAGAGAGAGAGAGAGAGAGAGAGAGAGAGAGAGAGAGAGAGAGAGAGAGAGAGAGAGAGACCTCATTATGGCCCCGAATATAGACTGTTGCAGGTGGGGGCAGCGCCCAACCTAAACCCCAAAACCCTAAACCCTACGCCCCAAACTCATACAAATACGAACCCCTCAAGCCTTAACCCAGAGACTCCAATATGCCTTAATTAAGGCATACACATTAAATTTTAGTAGGATCCCTAATATGATTTAAGGTATTATTGATTGATTAAGGGATATTGACACTGAACGCCAAGGTTTCGGGTCGTGCCCGGCAGACCTGGACCCAGACCGCGGGTTCTACTGTATGCCCTCGAAAATTAGGCTCAAACTGGCCCGAAAGCCTAACATAATATGGTCTTTAGGCCCAAAGCCTTAAAATATGAGTCCTTCGAGCCTTAGGGTTATGACTCTTATGGGAGTTTCCGAAAATAGGGGACCCTAATAAGAAGAAGGGATCTATAATGGAGTTCTATAATGTAGGGCCCTTGCAGTAAACCCCAAAAAGTTGGAATCCGGATTAAGGCCAAATAGTGCTCGGATTCCCACTACATTACTCTTAAAGAATGAGGCTATTGGGTTTCCAACTTTTCGGCTTCTACTGTAAGGCTTACTGTGAATGAGGGCTTAGGGTTCGTCGTAAAACTGCAACCGTCCTGAGATACAACTGATAGTCTCGAATTAGGTCCTTGATTTTGCTACTTGCTGCTAATTTAGGCCCAGGATGAACTCTTAAGGTTTTTCAGGAGATTGCAGGCTGAAGAAATAGTCTCGCCAATAGGGGATGCCGGGTATAGACCCTCGATTAGAGGACCCTCAACAGCAGGACTCCTAAGGAAGCAGGGTACGTCTAGTTGATGCGGCATCGGTCTTTGGGTACGTAGCGCTCAGATTTCAAAAGAAGGCATGGCCCTTGAGCTTTAGGACTACACACCAACTGATCATATCTAGGACCGCCTCATCCACCTCCTCCAGTAGCGGCACGAGGGTTGAATCCAAGTCCACCTTCTCGGTCGCATGGTGTAGCGTGCACTTTCTCATATAAGAATGCAGTCTTCATTGCGAGGAGGCCCAAAAAAAAAGCGAACAGTGGTACTACTGCGCGACCTAGAGGGCAGGGAGGAGGAGGGGGAGGAGAGCAGCACGATGGCAGCGACTGCGATCTCTCGGATGTGAAGCATGGAAGATTCTCCAAACCCTGCCTGAACCTGAAGAACGAACGACTGCCGTGCTAAAGAATGTTCCGAACCCTTAATTCAGGTAAAACCCTGATACTGAAACGAATACAGAGACCCTATAGAATCCGTATAAAACCTTTCAAGAATTCGCAAAAATGAACCCTGATAACTTATGCCAGAACTTTAATTATAGAATCCCTGTCAGACCGGTGCAGAACCGTATATATACCCCTACCCTGTCAAAAACCTGGGCCTTAGAGGTTTAATCCTAACTTTTAACTTCGTAAGTCCTAAACTCTAAAAAACCCCAAGCCGGACAGCATAAGGTAAACCCCTAAACTCCTAAGCCTTGCTGTCACCCTAGAAACCTGCCTCTTTAAGGACGTATATAATGAAGTTATTGCGAAGAACTCTGACAAGGTGGCCCCTAAACCCCCTCGTCGCGAGCCCCTAAACCCTAAAACCCAAGCCCTTAACCCCACAGTAGAGGCCAGAAAGTTGGAACATCATTACCCTCATGCCCTTAAGGCAAAGCATAAGGGATCCTAGCACCAATCCTCCTAAAGTCATGTTCCAACTTTCTGGCTCATGAGCCCTCGAGTGTCAATGTCCCACCTCTGGTGGTTGGCTGGAATCTTCCGGCAGGCCTCATGCAGAAGTCAAAGGGGAAAAGCAGGGACCCTTAATGGGGGCCCCTACCCTATCATGGGATATATAATCGGGGTATATAATGGCTTTTACCCTTGGAAGAATTACAGTCTTTTCTTCTGGCTGTAGGGTTTGGGGTCGAGGGGTTGGGGGGGTTCTAAACCCTAAACCCTAAACCCTAGAGTGCTTGTGGCCCTAAAGCCTCAGGGCGCCGCATCCCGCAGGCAATCTACTGTAGTCATTCCCTAAGGCTCCATGTACCCATATAGTATATACTTAGGCCTTAAAGTACCTATATAGGGACCCGTTTAAGGCTGAAGTACCTGCTATGACGGTACATGGAGCCTTTGGGCATTTCTGGTATCGGCGGAAACAATACTTCGCAGGACAGAAATCCAGAATTCGAAAAGCTCTATAACAAGACGCCATGTACTGTCCCAAAAACCCACGAGTTCTTCCTTGGTATGCATAAAATTGTGGCTCTCTTTCCAAACCCTTGTGTGGGACCTTGGAAAGAAAACTAAAGGCCGTGTAGAACCCAACGAGCTTCGAACACGCCATGCAAGATCTCGAATACTTCTTCAGCTGGTTGCACCTGATGCTCCTCCTCCTCCTCCTCCTCCTCCTCCTCCTCCGCCTCCTCCCAGTCAAACTTTCACTCCTCCTAAACTCCTAAATCCTAAACCCTGAACCTACTCCCACTCCTCCTCCTCCTCTTGGCAGATCCCTGGGTTCCCAGCCGTAGAGAAGCGCTTCGAGGTCGGTGTAGCGAAAAGCTTCCTCCCGGCAATCCAAGGCTTTAAGGGTTTAGGGTTTTACAGTGTAGGGGGCCTGCAACCCCAAAATAGGGTTTCCCGATTTAGGGTGAAGAGGTCAAGCAAAAGGTGACGACAACGGTAATTCTTTTGGGCTGACAAATGGGATAGATCTCGGGGTCTGTTGAGTTCGGATTTGGGCTATAACTATAATGAAGATAGTCCCAAACTAGTATAGTAGGAAATTATTGAGGCCCCTAGATTTGGGCGGAAAGGACGGTTTAGAGCAACCTCCGGCGTGGCACGCCCGCATCCACGAGCGGTTCTGCAAGGCATGCCAGGGGTTTAGGGCCTAGGTTTTGGGTTTTTTTTTTTTTAAGGTGCAGCGGCCCTTTTCTGTGCGATAGGCCTGCCTCATAGAGGCTTGCACGTCAGAAACAACCCGAAAAAACTCTCACTCGGCATCACCGTGCAGTTTCCCAACATATGGGGTTTAGGGTTCGGGGTTTGGGGTGTAGGGGTTTAGGGCCAACCTGAGTCGACATGCGGCGGGCTGCACCGACTTCGCGGCCTGCAAGTACCAGTTCTGTGTGGCATTGCCTGCGATGAGGCAGAGCTCGAAAGTAGTCGCGATGCCTCACCAGCGCATGGTAGACCAGATCCCAGCGCAAGCCTTTCATAGAGGCCATGTGATTAGACAGATCTGACGTAGTGTAAGGTTCCAGTTGTGCCGTGGACTCCAAACAGTCAACCAGAGTGGCAAGAATCCTAGAAGGGCCGAACGGGGCCGTGGAGGCCGGCTCTTGCTCTCTTACAGCATCGTCAGTTTGCGTTTGCGATAGTTCCACAAGTGGATGGACAAAAATTAGGCGACGCGTCGGCCATGAACTGAACATTCCATTGCAGAAACACAGATCCCCCAAACCCTAAACCTTTAACACGTGTCGTAGAAGTCATTCGAACCAGCGAGCTCGCCCACTACCTGTTCGTGATGGCCCTGCAGTTAAATAAAGGTTTAAGGGCTAGGGGCCCAGAGTATATTTTATGGACTCATCTTTCCATGCTCCGCCTGGGCAAACGCTTTCGCAAGTCCCTTGTGAACATTAGACTCTCGAACCTAGACCCTAAACCCCAAACCCTAGTCCGGATTTGGTTTAAGTGCTGTGGCCGGGGGGTTTAAGGTGCAGAACTCAGGATTTGGGGACCCTGATTTATGCATAGAGTGGGTATACTGAACTGGTACGTACATTTTTGGAGTGTATTGCATGCACACTACAAGCGGATGAGATCTCGAGTCATCCGTCACAGAGGCTCCTACATCAGTTTAGCTTCCAAATCTCTATCCCTCGAACCCCACACCCTGAAAACCCAAAACCTTCGCGCCCAACACACGTCCCTAAGCCTATCTACCATAAAGCCCTCGAAACTCTCATGACAAACCATAACAGCCCCAGGACATTCTGGACCCCATGCATCCCCATAAAGCCGTAGCAAATCTTGAACCACCTACACCATTTTCAACCCTATACAGTCACGAAAGCACCAAACCAACAAACCAACAATCAAAGCCCAAACCCCACGGACAATCTGTTAAAATCCTGTAAAAACCTTAGATAGAGAGTCTGTAAAGCCCGAATACAAATCTTGAGAAACTCCCGGATACCTTGACAAACCATGCAAAGCCCCAAGCCCTAAAACCCACAAATAAAAGCACAACTTACCACGCCCTACGTAGACCTACGTAGAACCCTGTATAAACCTCAAACCCCCTAGACCCTCCATCTACCCTCTATTAGACTATTGCCTGACCTTCTAGCCCGGCAGCCTCAAAACTGAGAACTTGAAAAACACCTGCTAAAGCCATATATAAGGCCTTCGGAAACCGCAAAACAAAGACGACGACCCCTAAACCCGTCAACCTCTCAAGCCCCAAACCCTACACCCTCAGCCCCTAATAGCTTTGAAACCCCAAAGCCCGAAAGCACCGCTACCCTGAAGCCCGACAAAAATCGCTACAAAATCCGAAAAAGCGTAGGGACGCAACATGCTCAAACCCAAAAACCGCTTAACGAGAAGAAGAGTGCGGTACACTTGAAGGAACCCTGAAAGGAACCTTTAAAGGAACCCTTTACGGGTACCGTTTAAGGAACCCGTAAGGGAAGCCTTCAAGGAAGCTTTAAAGGAACCCTTTTTTGGGGAACCCTATTATGGAACTCCATTAAAAGGAACCCTATTCTAGGCTCTATAGTACCCTTAAAACCCTAAACCCTTAACACTTAACGGAACCCCTGCAGATCTAAGAACCCCTACAGATCCTTTAAGGGAACCCTTTAAAGCAATCCTTAAAGGAACCCTTAAAGGATCCCTCAAAGGAACCCTGAAAGCAAGAACCCTCACAGGGTACCCTATTAGAGAACCCTATCGTACCTTGAAGGTTACCCCTTTGCACCCCTTCAGGGAATACCCCCTGAAGCCCTATATAAACCTATAACCCCCAAACCCTAAACCCCGAAATCCCTAGACCCTACACCCTTATAGACCCAAGCCCCATAGCACAAAATCCCTTAAAGGAGCCCTTCAGGGAACCCTTAAAGATCCCTTATAGATCCCTTATAGACTTATAGAAACATTATAGATCCCTTAAAGGAACCCTTAAAGGAATCCCAGGCCGCCTGCTTGCGAGCCGGGGCCTCCACCTCCTCCAGCAAAGCGAGGCCCCGCCTCGGAAGATTCGATTTTTCCCCGAGGCTCCAGGAGGAGTTCCCTTTTAGGGTTTAGGGTTTAGGGACAGGAGAGACAAAGGTACCCAGACCCCCCTTTGGAGGATCCAAAAAGTAGATCCCTTTATGGTGGCTCCTATAAAGTACCCTGAGTAGTATAGGGCCCCAAATTAGGGGATCTACTTTCTAGATCCTCCCGGGGGTCTGGGTATCTAGGGTTCTTGGGGTCCGTTAGTATGCCTTTAAGTGATGTTCCTAGGATCCTGAAAATCCCTTCATTTAGGAATAGTTAGGGTTCTGTTAAGGAATCTATGAGGGATCTTGTGGGTTCTGGGTTCAGGGGTCTCCAACATCCCTTAAGTCGGGGATATTCCTTGAGTCATATTAGGGATCCTACTGTAATTTTAGAGTATATCGCTCAAATAAGGGATACTGCAGTCTCTGGTGTCGAAAGAAAGGGCTGAAGGTTTTCTGGGGGTTTAGGGTCTTTTGGGTGGTTTTCGGGTTGAGGGTGAAGTGGCGGAGGGATTTAAGGAAAAGAATTTAGGGTTTTTCGGGCTTTTAGGGATTAGGGTTAGGGGTTTAGGGTTGCGGGGTGACGGAACCCCAAGCAAAGCAAGCAATACCCTCCCAGAAACCTTCAACGTTGAACCTCGAGACTCTACACCCAAAACCTAAAACCCTTAATCGCCAGAATCCGGAAAGTCTACTTCATCCTTGGGCTAGCACTCGGCGAAGGCCCCAGACGAGGACGTCCTGCAGATTGCAACCGGTTCCAGGGTTCAAAGTTCAGTGTTCTAGGGTTTCTTTTAGGGTTAGGGTTTAGGGTTTAGGCTCTTGGGTTTAGGGTTTCGGGTTTAGGGTTTTAAGGGGTCAAGGTACCTTTGAAGTTCCTATAGCAGTGCTATAAGGTTCCATGCGGGAGCTCCCAAGTGTAGACCAAGGGATGCTCATTCGGGTGGTTGTCAAAATTAGGGTCCATTTTTGGGTACCCTGAATATTAGGTGCCGTATTAAAATAGGGACCCAAAAAGGGACCATAATTTTGACAACCACCCATTTGTGATGTTGGGCGTTGGGCTCCCTGTGCATTGACGCTCAGAAATCATCACCTGAGGGTTCCTACGTAGCTCGAAGTATGACTACCAATTAGTGTCTTATAAGTCCGGTTGTCAGTGCACCTGCAATCTTAGGAATATGACCTTACTCTCTCGCATTACCTTTTAAGTACTGAGCCAACAAGCTGAGTGGTGTGCAGTCCTACTTGGAGGTCCATGGGTAGTTATAAGCAGGATCAACAGTTACCCTCCTTATGACTCTACTTATAACTACCCATGAACCTCCAAGTAAGGAGTTCCACCGCTTCATGTGAGGGCCCTAAAAGGCTTCAGAGCTTTGAGTCTAACTCAGGGGTTCAGGTTCAGGGCTTCGCGTTTCGAGTATGTACTACATATAGGGGGTCTAGATAACGACCTATACTGTTTTGGGTTTCCTTGTTAGACAGTATACTGGGCCCAAAAACCCTATTCTAATTGCTAAGGGCCCTATAATATAGTAGTTGTATTAGAGCTGCGCACAAGAGCCCGGCTGGAAGTACAAGCTGCAAGCCATGGCGAGGTTGCTAGGGACACGTAGTGGGCAATCCCAACCCCCAAACCCAAAACCTGTAACCCCGAAACCGCATGATGATCCGCGTGATCCTTTGTTCCGCCTGCCGCGAGAACCACTGATCCTGCAGCAAGTGTGCGGTCTGATACCAGCTGAAATGTCCGGCTGGTGGTAGGGTTTAGGGTTTATAGTTCCCAAAGATCCCAATACCCCCTTAATTAAGGAATATACCGCAAATCATAAGATGAAGGCCCCTATAGTTGAAGGTATATTCCTTAATTAAGGGGTATTGGGTTCTCTGGGCAGGCATATTGAAGGCTTAGGGACTTAGGGGACTACGGAATTCAGCAAGCAGGCTATGGCTAGAGTCCGAGGCAAGTCCCATACAACCCTGCTAAGCCCTAAACTCCCTAAACTGAAACCTATACCAACTAAGAAGCATACTCTGATTACCACGGGCCCATCAGAAACCTTAACACCCCCAGAGACCCAATACCCTTTAATTAAGGAATATAACTTAAATCATAATATTAGGGCCTCTAGAATTCAAGGTATATTCCTGAATTAAGGTTCTTGGGCTCTCTGGACCCTGGTCACCCTTCTGCTAAACTCAGCAGCATCGTGCTTCGAAGACACTAGAGCAAAGCCATATTGTAGGGGGTCTTCATCTTCGAGTACGCTCTGGGGGTATAGAATAGTACAGTCCGTTGCATGCAAACTACAACGGGATGGAACTTTAAGGCGTCCAGGGCATTGACACCCATATAGAACTCTTACTTCAAGTATTGCAAAACCCTTTGTCCCTAACCCTAAACCCTCAACGCTAACCGCTAAACCCTAAACCCTAAACCCTAACCCCCCCAAGCCCTTTTTTCTCCAGTTTCAATTTCCATACAAATCCTTTCTAAAATCTTCTAAGACACTGGGAGATCCTTGTACAAACCTATGCATTGGCATTATTACCATCAGAATTATTACGAATGATTATTGTTGCTAGTATTATTAGGATTATCAATATGATTACTATTATTTTTGTTACTATCTATTGTTATTATTATGAATCACTGCAGACATGCCGCATAAACTGTAGCCCCTTTGCTTCGTTGCCAACAGCTCCCGGCCTGTTCCGTCGCGCTACGCGCTGTAAGCTGCCGGTGTCCTCACGGAATTGCTCGAAAGCAGGTGGAACGTTTTCGATGGTAGAAAGTATATAGGGCACTGAGTGTGTGTGTGTGTGTGTGTTGATTAAGGTTGTTGCTCGAAGCACGTGGGGATTTTAAGAGTTGGGTGGCTTAGAGTTTCGGGTTTGGCTTGTAGGATTTCGGGTTCAACTACATTCAGGAACTTCATGCAGAACCCTCTCTGAAAAAGCCGCCTTCGACGACATCCCTGATTGAATTGGGCTGACATCCTATCGAAGGCACGGCGGCGTGTTTCACCACGACGCCACGACAACATGAAATCGCATCCCGGGGATGATGGACGTGTCACGAGAGCTGTTGGGGCGACACCGGATGGTGTACCACCACCTAGCGTGCCATTTACGCGATAAGCTTAACCGCAACCACCCGTAGTGCTCGACTAAGGGCACCATGTGCTGAAGTTGGGGACTGCTTGCCCGTTCCGACGGATAGATTCGTGTCCCATTCGTGTACTCGCACTCCACACGTGGTGGAGTTTGGCTGCAAGGCTAAATTAACCTACTTGTCGGGTTATTATGGGGAACTCAGGGTGAACCTTTT